TCAAATAAGATTGAGAGCTGTAGATCCTGTGTTAGAAGTCTACGTTTCTCCATTCCTACTCACTTTTCATTTGTGAACTACTGTTCAAGTTAAGGAGCAAGATATTTCTCACCAGGTGAAAGAGATTTTCCAGGTGAGAGAGACATACATATTACCAGTTAACTAAAGTGAAGAAAAGCTTCATTTCTAGTGGGACAGTGATCAAGAAACCCGAGCAAGCTGCTTTTACAGTAGCCAGCTGCTGGCAACCCTTGCTAAGGAATGTTTGCATTTTAAGTTTAACAGAAACTTTTCTACCATCTAGCAAACAATGGGCTGAAGACTGCAGGCACCACATGATATGGTGCTATCCTCCCTAATCATAGGTGCTGATGGAAGGTGCAGAAGTGGTTTCAGAGCACCCATGGGACATATGTTAATAGGGGCTAACAAAGACATGACCAGCTGAGTATACAGATTTGGAAGTGGTACCTGGAGGACTCATATCGTCTAAGAATAGCTGTATTAAGCCATTGGAAAGAACATAGGATGCTCTTGCACTGAGTTAGGACCACTGATCAAACCAGCTTGGTATTATACAACAGTGGCACCCTTTCCTTAGGATTTTAGGCAGAAATGTCATCTAGCACTGCCTGAAGTTGCCAGATTTGAATCAGAGACTTTAACTATGGAAACTAAGTATCATTCTATCATTTTTCTAAACAAGTCAAAGTGGCTTACATAATTCTTTTCCTCTGAATCTTATCTTCACAACAACACTCTTGTGAGGTAGGTTGGACTGAGAATCTGTGACTGACCCAAAGTCACCCAGCTGGCTCCATGGCTGAGCAGGGACTAGCACCCAGATCACACAAGTCCCAGTCCTGCACTCTTACCCGCTGCATCGCACTGGCTTTCCAATGTTTTACTACTATATACATACTATACAACTAATGGCATGTGGCTTCTCTTATTGCCCTATGCTAGGGAAAAATAACAAGAGCTATCCATCTCCTTATACAGGACCTTTTCAAGATCAAGTCTAATCTAATGGCTGCCACTGGAACCAAACTAGTGGAGCCATTTAATCTGATCTAATACAGAGAAAATTAGATTAAAATGCTATCGGGCAAATTATCTGCTAGAACAAAAGAGATCTCAAAAATTGCTTTCCAGTCTCTAAAGGAGTCAGCAATATTATTGAATACTAAAAATTTACAGCTTTATATATGAAATTCATTTGTTGTTTATAAAAAAACACAATACTCTTGTCTGCTGTTTACATGTGAGTATCCATTGGAGGGCTTGTATTGTACTATCTTATATTGCAGAAATATATCATGTAAGATTACTATGGAAGCTACAAGACTGCATGACTGTTCCTTAGGTGATTCACAGCATCTAGATAAGTATCACGTGGGACTACTGTAAGAAGATACACTTTATTAAAAGTGCTGAAAGATAGCTGACAGTCGAAATTAAAATCTAAGAACTTTGTGCATGTGTGTGCATGTGCGCCTGCACAACATTATAGTTTAAAAATTATTTGCTCATATTTGCTACTTCAGGGCATAGCATAATTAAAAAGCTAGTTCAAAGTTACTGATACTGAGCTGGGTAAGAGTTGGGGATTCTGGCTTAGAGATGTTCTTAAACTGATGAAAGCATTAAGAATAAATCTTGTATATTGGGCTGACTATTGTGGAGTGGAGAAAGAACAAATCTCTGTAAGTTCCAGCTGAATTTGCTTATTGGGGATTACCTTTTCAGTATTAGACTTGAGATGATGTGCATTGACTGCAACCAATGTCATAACCATTCTGGATCAGACTTAGCAGACTTCAAATCACAAGGGATAAGGAGTGGGTATTTTTCACTCTCCCTTTTTGCCACTGTTCCAACAATAATTGCAGGTCCAAAGGTTTTATTTGCATTTCAAGGGAATTATGTCAATGGAGGCTTCCATTGAAATATAAATAAGAGCTTTGGAAAGGTAAGTTTTGTTTGGGTTGCTGCAGGGAGAAAAAGGTTACACTCCCCATTCCAATGTTCCAGAGGTTTCTCGGGCTTCTCTGAAACTGCTATTTGTATTACTAAAAGCAGGCATATATACTTCCAACTCTTCTTTGTCCTTGATTCTACTTTCCTGAATTACTTGCAAACTATATTTTGTCTATCCTTGGTCTATAGAGGTATGTCCTTTCTGGACAGCTTGCCAGAAAGTCAAATTCAAATTATTGTATCTATGGTTCACCTTTGTGAAACACAGCAATTCCCTGCAAATGGTATAATAAATTCCAACAGCCACATTGTATTTGAAAGAAGGTAGCAGGGGGACGAAGCATGAAAAGTATTGCTATACCATTTTAGGACAGGTTAAAAAAAAAAGCCCCCTACAAAGCAGAATTTCATCCTGCTGCAAAGAAAAAGAGGGTAGAGGAAAAGATGCTGCCACAAGAAGGAATAATATGGCAATCTTAAAATGGGTGATTCATTATATTCTTTTCAGACTTACTCAAAAGAATTGTTTTTCGTCATATAATATTATGCAGCACAAAAGATGACAGCTTGTACTTATACTACGGGGACAAAGGAGCAACAGCCACTTTCCCTTTTAGAATATAATTGCTAGCAGTTCTTTGAATCTGACTACAGCACATCTGGGGGAGAGATCACTGTACAGTGACAGAGCATGTGATTGGCATTCACAAGGTCTCCAGCTCAATCCCAGAAAGCTCTAATGTAAATAGAGGATTAGGCAGCAGGTGGTGGAAAAGACCTCTGCCTAAGATCTTATAGAGCAGAATAGACCTTGATGGGCAAATAATCTGACCTGCTGCAAGGAAGTTTCCTATATATGGCACATAAAGTGCTTTTCCAGGGTTGGCTGCCTCCTCTGGAATTCTCTCCCTAGAGAATTTTGCTAGGGTTCTTCACCCAAGCTTTTGGGCACAGGGTTAAATCCCATTTTCTTTTAAACACACTGACATTGTTCAGTTATGTATTTGTGTTCATGCATGTCCAACCTCAGTTTGCTGTTTTACTGTTGTTTAAGCATCTATATTAAGGCTAGGCATGTTTAGAAAGAAAAAAAGTCTCACAACTCCCACATGCCTCAGCTAGTCTAGAGTAGAGTAGACAGCAATGTCCCACCCCACTTTTTTTAGGAGAGCCACTCAAACTCCCCCCCCCCAGGCTTTTGGGGGAGGCAAAGGTGGCTGTGAAAGGAGCAAGGAAGAGGGGATAGGAAACTGTCTAGTCACTTCTTTAGGTTAACTTTTATTAGGATTAGCTACTGTTCTAGCCTGCAAGGAGAAAAGGTACAATATAAATTTATTTAATCAACAGGAATATATGTCTTTCTGTCTCATGCTTTGATGCAGTTTCCCATGGCCCTGCTCAAGAGGGGAAGAGATGGCAGTGCAGAACAGGAACCAGAATAAAGTTGCATGTGGCTGGTTACTTGGAAATAGGGCCCAATGAGTTCAGTCAGATTGCCCTCCTGCTCTTGCTAAGGCATGCTGACATTCATAGCTGTTGGTGCCACTGGCACGCGAGTGTTGCCGGTTTGCCACCCACAGTCTCTGGCAACCAACTGCTCAAGTAGGTACACGTGGAACCATAATGGGAAATGCATGCAAAACAACATGTCAAAACAAAATTTCTGGGTGTGCCACCATATCTAACTGATAGATGACCTGATGGGCTTACTTCTGATTTACTCTTTTGTGTTGCCTCCATGGCTTCACTGTCCACTGAATTCTCCCTGGGCTCAAAGGAATGTGGGTGCCCAGACCACTCTCCAGCCCCAGAGTTGCACTTGCACAGATTTCTCATAGCAGAGCTTTACCACCTGGCCTGCAGTCTGTCATGCGCTGTTCTGACTGCAAGCCTTCTTTACTGAAGGACCCTTTGTGTGTTTCTGTTCCTTCCTTCCAGTGTGAGGCTACAGGGTGAAAGGGTGCCATCTGGTCAACCCCCTGCTCTTTCCACTGTGTAGCCTGAGAATTAACTCCTTATTTCTGTTGCGAGCTCTGGGGCTGGCAAAGACAGCCTTGTCTGACCCCTTTCCCCAAACGGATGCTTTCCAATGGCAAGGCAAAGGTTTCCACTTTCCTCCGTTCCTCTGAAATGTCACAGGTGAGTCAACATGACTGAAGGCCCTCCTACAAGAAAAACCATGACAGCTCGTAGCCAATCTCCAGCTTACCAACCTGCTTGGAACTGCTGTGAGTTCCACTTCTAGAAGCTCCTCCTCCTTTTATTATTATTATTTAGAAAGGTTATGCTCCAAAAATCAGGATTACTGGCCTGGAAGTCTTTCTTCCCATGTTAAATGTATGGAGGATTATAGCTACCTTCTGTGATGAGAGGAAAGTACTTTGCCCATGCTCAAAGGCATCTCTTTTAAAATAATTATTACTCCACTTGTTCCACTGCAGGAAGCCTCCTGCTGGAGATAGCTATATCTCTCCTCTTTCCCAGTCGTGTGTTCCTTTTATATCGCACCCTTTAAACCCAATCCTGTATCTGCATACTCAGACACAAGTCCCATACAGTTTAGTGAGTTTTGTCCCAGGCAAGCGGGTTTAGCATTGCATTCTATTTTACAGTGCAAATCTCCAGTGCTTTTGCCAGAAAGGCCGTGCATATAAATAGAGGTAATGCAGAGAAGGAAATAGTTCTGCCCTGGCACGGTTTGAACCGTGGCCAATTTTTACTGTGGAGAAGCGTGATTTAGACCTTGCCCGTCCTTTATCTCCCGAAAAGCCAGAACTTCTACAAGTTGTAACGAACGGAGCTGCCGAGGAACTGTCATCTCCCTCCGAAAACATCACCGATGCCTTTCTCCCCTCGACCTCCCTCGTTCGCCAGTCCAATCATTCCGCCTCGCTGGGCAAGCGCGCTCGCTCCTCTTTCCCATCCCCAAACCCCCGTCCCGACGTGATTTGGGCCACCCGTCGCCTTCTCCCCCCGCCGCGTTCCACGACACGGTAGCGACTCGGACGCGAGGGGCTTACGCAAGGGTGGCTCCGCTCGCCGTTTTCAGCCCGCAGCCCTTCTTAGGGGCTCCCGCGACGGCATTTAGCCCGCTGCTTCCGGGCGACGTTCGCTCGTGGAACGTCGGCGGGTCTAAGCCGGCTCTACCGGGGAACGTCGGGATGCGGCTGCACCATTCCCCGCGCGCGCGCGCCCGCCCGCCGCTCGCCAGTGCGCCTCTCCTGAAAGCCGCAGCGCCGCCTCAGTCTCTCCCTCTCCCCCTCTGTCGAGCACGCACACACACACACACACACAGCGAAGCGACAGTCGGAGCGCTCCGGCTCGGACACGCGTAAGGAGGTCAGGGAGCCACAGCGCATGCTCACCGCTAAGCCAGGGTGCCGTGGAAGCGCTTGTCTCAGCCTCTTTGCTCTCGGAACCCCCCCCCCCCCCCGAACCGACTGGATGGGCGGCGAGAAGGGGGCTCGCCGCTGAGGAGCGCTCCCTCCTGCCGTAGGGGACGCGCGTGGGGGAGAAAATCCAGCCGGTATCCCCGCAGCAAATTGCAGGGATACGGGGTTCACGGAACGGTGCTAGGTACCCAAAAGATCCGGGGTTCAGGCCTGCAACGCAAAGCAACACAAAAACACAGTTTCACACATGCTGATACACATATGCCCTAAAATGTGCGCACGTGTTCGTCTGAAAAGGACCCAGTCGCCTAAAGAAGCTTCTATTTGTTAAAAAAATATGCATGGATAGGGAAGAAGATGGCATTTGTTTCCAGAAAAAGATTCAAGGGAGGCAGCAGAAGGTGACGCACATGTGGGCAAAATGGCAACTGGAGGGCTAGTGGAAAGATCATCAAGATTCCTGACCCTTTAACTCAGCAAGTGTCCTTGGAGAGCAGGCAGGGGTGGGGGCAGCCCTTTTGGGTCTAGCCATTTGCACCTGGCCCTGCTCCATCCAGGCTCTCTAAGGAGCTACTGCCATTGAAACAGCTCTGCTGTAAGGCCAACGATCTTTGGGAAGCATGGAGAGTTTTCTTCAATTACTTGGAGGAAGAAAAAGGCGTTTTACAGCACCTGCCATATAATAGCCATTGGGGCAGTATCAAGCAGTTCATCAGTCTGGGCACTCACAGGACTGCTGCAGTCATTAATTTCATTGCAGACCTCTGCTACAGCAATAAAGCCCTCAGGTACTGGGATTCTGCAACCATTTCCTGCATTGCCATTGGTACTGATTCTCAGTTGCTTCTTCCTTTTTCTGCTGCATTTATGAGTTCACAGGTTTGTCAGTTCACTTTGGATTTTGGTAGTCTCTTATCACTCTGCTGGGTGATTGCTGTCCTCTGTTGGGCTTTGTCATTTCATGATGGGCATTGCCATTCCATAGGATAAGCTGCCTATCAAATGGTTGTGTTTTTATGTATTGGATTTGCATTGCATTTGATCTTCCAGTGTGCCCAGGCTTCATGATACTGCTTCTCAGCTTGCATCGTGCCCTCTGAAAGCCTGGCAGCTCGCTGAGACATTGGCAATGGGGCCCAGCCATTGTGGTGTGTCCACCACACCAGCCTGAGAGCATAGGCCAGGCAGAGTTTCTCATTAGTCTTTCAATAAGTGTGCCCATAATCTCCTAAATCTTACCATGGTTACACCCAACAAAATCAGGGGGCTGAACTGCTTGAAGAGGGATGGAAAATACAGGGTGTTACTTAAATGCTTATGATAGCAATTCAGTATTTTTAAGTTGTGTAAATTGGACTTGCAGCAAAATATTGCAGTATGGAATTCAGGCTGCCAGCCAGCCAGCCAGCCAGCCATGGTTTCTTTCTGTTAGTCCATTCTCCCTTTCCCTTGCTTTTATTTAGTTACTTATTATTATAACTTGCCTTTTTAATTTCTATGCCCTCAAGATAGCTTACATATTCCTCCTCCTCCTCTCAGTTTTGTCCTCACAACAACCCTGTGAGGTAGGCTGGGCTGAGACTCTGTAACTGGCCCAAAATCAGACAGTGAGCTCCATGGTTGAGTGGGAACTAGGAATTCCCACATCCCCACACCCCCAGTCCAACACTCTAGCCCAGTAATGACGAACCTTTTAGAGACCAAGTGCCCAAACTGCAACCCCAAACCCACTTATTTATCTCAAAGTGCCAACCCTACAATAAAACCTGAAAACTGAGGGTTTAGTTTAAAAAAAACTCACAGCCAGTCCAAGCAAATATATATATATATATCCTTGGCAGCGTACTGACCGGCCATGCGAAAGCTCGGTCAAGTCACTGCTAATGAGTTGCGGCTTGTGACATCATCGCCCGGTGCCGCTACTCCTTTCTGAGCTGGTGCATGGCTCCTGTGTGCGCTGTTATCTGATGCTCAGCTGCTGGGGCGATGCCGGGGCGACTTGGCTCGTGTGCCGACAGAGAGGGCTCTGCATGCCCACTGTGACACACGTGCCATAGGTTCGCCACCACTGGCCTAACCCTACCCATGTGCACTCCCTTAAACCTAATATAGAGGTAAAAGACATTGAAAGAGGGGATTTTGAAAAAGCCTTCCTTGAGTAACTTTTTCTGCACAGCTCAACATTTCTACCCATTCTAAACACATTCCAACCCTCAAAATCATGCCAGGACACCTTGTTTTTCTAACCCTAATCCTACCCTGGTGCACATGGAAAAGAGGGCGATTTTGAAAAAGCCTTCAAGTGGCTTTTTCTGCACAGCTCATCATTTCTGCCCATTCTAAACACATTCCACCCATCAAAATCATGCCAGGACACCTCATTTTTCTAACCCTAACCCAGTGATGGTGAACCTTTTAGAGACTGAGTGCCCAAACTGCAACCCAAAACTCATTTATCGCAAAGTCTGAACACTGCAAAAAACCTGAATACTGAGGTTTTCGTTTAGAAAAAAACAACTCACAGCCAGCCCAAGCAAATAGATATATATCCTTGGCAGCACACTGACCAGCCATGCGAAAGCTCAGATGAGTCGCGGCTAACGTGTCGTGGCTTGTGACGTCATCACCTGGCACCACTACTCCTTTCTGAGCATGCACATGGTGCACTGTTATCTGATGCTCATCTGCTGGGGCGATCCGGGGGCAACTTGGTTCACGCGCTGACAGAGAGGGCTCTGCGTGCCCGCTCTGGCATGCGTGCCATAGGTTCACCTCCACTGCTCTAGCCACTATGTCTTACATGCTCTCAACAGCCTCTTTACCATCTCAATAGCCAGCATTACATGCCCACTGAGCTAAAATTTGTTTTGGCAGGTGGAGGGCATTTTAAATAATTTGTCAAACTTCTGTGAACCTTGCATTTTCCCCAAGCCTCCATTATCTCCTTCTTGAGCACGGGTGGTAACATAAGGTTGCAGAAGGGTCCACACCAAACAGGGGTAATAACAGACTCTTTCTCTGGGGATGGCCCATCATTTTTCTAGACCAAACAGCTTTAACTAATCAATGCTTTTGACAGCAGAGAGTTCTCAGAGCTCTAAGCAGCCCAGCATCATCTAGAATCAGTAGAGCTGGAAGGGGGCCATAGGGCCCAACCCCTTGTTCAGTGCAGGACTCTAGATCAAAGCATCCCTCTTAGATGGCTGTCCAGTTGCATCTGAATGCCTCCGTATAGATCACTGGGAAGCATCCCAGCCTGTTCGTGTGCCACAGAAACTGCTCAGTAGCCATTCTTTTTTTTGGTGTGAACACTAGTTATTCCACATTGGAAATCAAAGTCCCATGAAAGAAATGTAGATCTTACTCTTCCATCCATCATGTGTTGTGAAAATACTCTGCAGTTGAATAGCAATAGTATTTTTTTGCTAGGGTAGTAACTATATACATAACATACATATAAACATACATACATACATATTGTTTTTCTGTTGCTTGGTTTCTGCTGCCTTTTTAAGGGATGTTCTTCACCTGCTAAGTAATCTGCATTAAATCTATGTCCACAGGTCATTGGCTTTTCAAGCAGGATGACTTGCAATTCCACGGTATGATTACAATATTAGGAGTCATACCATCTCAAGGAAAACAGCTTGCTTTTGATGCCAAATGCACTATTGAACTGTCTGGGAACTCAAGGGTGAGATGTGGGGTGTGTAATATAACCTTCAAAACATTCATAGTTTGTGTCATCAGGGAAAAGAGCCAAATTATGAATGAGGCTGTGGGAGAAGGTGATGAAATGTGCAGAGTGAAACTTGTCAAAACCATGTTGGGGTAGGTAGGAAGAAATAATTATTCCAGCCTTTGTTATGTTCCAGTGTTATACCCTATATGAAAATTAAATCTTTGAAAGGGGTTGCAAAGAGAAATCTGTCTCCATGTATTTATTTAAAATACTTACACCTTCCTTTCAGCTTAAATGATACCTTCATTATGTATAAAAACCTATGAAACTAGCTGTAGAACCCTATCTCCAAATTATGCCTGCTGGACTTGATAGGATCGGTCCTAAACCAATGTTTGTGGGTGGAACAGAATGCTGGTGTGCTGGGAAAATCCAAACCCATCACAGTGAGACAACAACACTGGTGTGCCAGCGGGACTTCAGTGCAAAAGGAAAAATAGGAGGGGAAAGTGGAGATGGATCAAAATCAAGCCACTATCCTTGCTTGACAGTTGGTTCTGTTTTGGAAATGGTTTCACGGAAGACCCACAAAAGAGTTGGCATTTTTAAATAACTCCATTGTAGTGCCAAAAGAATTGGCACCCCACCCATTGCCTCACTCTCTGCTCTTACAACCACATCAGAGGAAAAGATTCTCCTCACTATACCAGATCATGACAAAGCACTATGAGTAAGAATCAATAATAATAATAATAATAATAATAATAATAATAATAATAATAATACTGGGAGCAAGAAGAAGGCTTTTTTAAAATCCAATGTAATAATAGAATGTGCGCTGCAGGAAAGGAACACAGCTCACATATTTCTATACTAGAAATGTGTTTTTGCACAGGTGAGAATGACTTTCTGCTTGATACTGCACTTGATAATCCCTACTCCCCAATATTTCCCAGATTGTGCAGGGAACAGATCCCCAAATACAGGAAATTGTCCACCATGTGCTGGTGAAGGCAACAGAGAATGAAAGCAGTTCCACTGGTCAGAACTAGGCATTCCCTCTATTTGCACTTCTGGATCAACATTTATGACTCACTTTTCTTCGCTTGTACCTGCTGCCTGGAGATGGGTCTTGTCTTAGCAGAAATAAGATGATTAAAAATGGATACCAGGCATGTGCAGCTCCTCCCTCAGTAAAGTTGACCTACTACTAAGATGGCTGCAGATTAATCCAAGCATGAAAATTGAGATGATGGATCTTTTCCTGTCATCTCTTCAAATGTTCTGCAAGATGAAGTGGGTTCGCTTGCCAGGAGAGTTTAGCAAACACACGCATGCCCACACAATAAATAATAGATGAAGGTGTAACGAAAGAGGCAGGTTCAATAGTTTAAAAAGAAATCAATTCCCAAGCTAGGATAGGATCAATTATTCTGAAAATTCTCAACTGACAGTGCAATCCCGTACATGTTTGCTCAGATGTAACTCCCACAGTGAGCTATGAGGTAAGCATCTTAGTACATCTGTCTAAAATGGCAACTTTAGGCTGCAGTCCAACATACAGTGATTAGGGAGCAAAGCCATATTTAAATAAACAATTTAAATAAATAGGCTTAAAATGTAATTTTTATCCTGCTTCTCAGTCAAACAGGTTCTCAGAGAGAGAGAAGGGTGAGTAGGAAGAGCGAGAGAGAGAAAAGGAGATGGGAGAAAGAAAAGAGGAACAATCCACTAGGTTTGGCTTTGGCCCTGCCCACTGCTGACATATGCCTTGTGATGGGTTACCTTGGTTGGCATCTGCCCCTGGACAGCCAGTCCTGGTTTCCTCTTGATTCTTTCCTGTGGCAGACTGCATTTTCAGTGGATTTATTCTATATATTGGGAAGGATATACATCAACAGATGTATTTGCAAAAGTGCAGGGTGTTTGCTTTAATTACGTATATTACTACAATGCCAGTGAGCATGTTACTTGCCCATGAACACCCCAATGGTGTTATTAGGATGATTATTTTGATAGATGGCCTTCAGATTTATTATGTTCTGTGATAACAGGCAAACCTTTTAATAGCCTCATTTCACCAGCTTTGTTTGCTTCTGTGCTTTAATATAATCCAGAAATGAACCAGATACAGATTATGAGGTTAGGAATATCTCACATTGTAGCAAGGATGAAATATCCGTTAAATTGTCTCCTAAACCCCTGTGCCTCTGAATGTGGCTTTGAGGAATGCAGAAACACTTCTTGTATGCCACTGACTTACACTTCTATTGCAGTATAAAATTGGGATTTCCACTATTAACTAGTGGGCGTGTGTTACTCTCACACTTTCCCTCTGTCTGTTGTGCCTATATGTTGTCCCCTTTACAGCAAATAACAGCCGCCTTATGGTTGTGGCAGATTGTGGCTGTGTGGTGAAAGTCCACTCAGCCTCAGTGGCTCTGATTCAGATTGGTGGTTCCACACCTGCTTTCAGAAAATGAAAATTACAGGGTGGCTCCAGCCACTGATTCCCCATTTATTGTCTAGTGAGGTGTTCAGCTGTGCATATGTTAACTCTGTATATATTGGCAAAAGAAGAAGTTTATAAAACTCATATGCATTCTTCTTGGTGCCCAGAGTTTTATTACCAACATGCATTTCAAACATCTTTCATATTTACGCAGTTAATCCTCTAAAAGCATACACTGCAGCAAGCGTTCTTTTATGTTTAAAGACACATTTAAACAAACATTTAAGTTTTATGTTGCAGATAAATATAGGTAACCTATATGCTTTACATACAGCATCCTGAAATTATTAATAATTCATGTACTGTTTTAAGTATATCATGTTCAATACCTAAAATCCTTGGCTTTTTAAAGCTTTTTAAGCTTAGGTTTTTTTTCATGAAGCAAGTGTGCCACCTGCTGGTGATATGTAATTGGCATATAAGATTAAAAGCAAATTAAATAAAAGCGGGAGGAATTTCTTCCCTGAACTGGAGAGGGTAGAGTATGCTGTTTTCTTCATCCATTTTGTGAAAAATTATTATACCTATAAAATTATAAGGAAAGAGAAAGAAAAGTACCTCTTTTTTATTTTTATTTTACTTGAAACTTTTCTATCCCGTCCTTTGCATAGCCTCAGCAGGGCTTACAACAATTCCATATGTTTCTATCTTACAAAAGGAATTCATTTTCTATGTTCATGTGGCTTTGAGGCGTGTTTTCCCCTAGTGCAATTCCTATCGTTTAGGCCTCTGTACTAAACGAAGAATCAGCGCTTTCCCAAACACAGAGCAGGTGTGGATGAGCTTACCACGGTGGAAGACCCTGATCTTGATTGCAAAAACAGGTTAAGGAATTGCTCTCTCCCTCAGTGTTCCTGATGTGATAAACTCCCCGCATCCACCCCTAAATTCCACCGATGTTATGGATTGGTTTTGGATGGCTTTCATTCAGGGTTGCCATAAGACAGAGATGACTTGACGGCACGTTGTAGCAACAACATTCCATTGATGGGAGCGATGATTATTGTTGTCGTGAGTAAAATCTTGTGGCTATTATGTTTTTGAGAATGACCACTAGAGGGAGCTAATGTAAAGGTTTATACTTAAGCGAGGAGTGTGGGATTCCTCATTTTGCTGTGAAAATGCATGCAGAGGGTAACTGCTGCTTGCAGAGTTTAGAATGATAGGCTGGGGAGACAGATTTTTTTCTATTCTTAATCCCGGGTCAACACTCCATCTGTGTATGTTATGTCAGTTTGGGTAATTCAAATTTTAGATGTTTCATTTCCCCTGGCTGGAAATAGGCAGGGCTGGCACCAGATTTAACAGGGCTGCCAGTGCACCTTTTGGATAGAGGATTGCCTTCCCATGACAGGCATGGGCAGGTGCAGCATCAGCTAAGAAGCTTGTCTAGCTGGCAGTCACCTTGGAGCGATCTCTGTGGTGCTCCTGAAGCATTGTGGGAGAACTGAAAGGTGGGAGCCCCAACACCTGCCTACGCTTGAGGTCTGGTCGGCTGGGGGCTTTCCTTCTCTCAGCAGTGAAAGGATTGCTGGACCCAGGTGGCATTTCAGATTGGTGGCTGGCTGCACAGTAACCTCTTCTGAGGGTTTGGGCTGTTGCAAAGAGCCCTCCGATAACAAGCCTGAACATAGGCAATGCTTCTCCTGCCAATATGCTTTTAAAGAACACTTTATTAAGTGCCCTTGGCATAATGCTCTGAAAACAAATCTTTAGCACAAGTAAGGAATTATAGTAAGTACAACATTACAATATTACTATAATAACATGTTGGCTGCTGCTTTTGCAAAAGCAGCTGCATGAGATTTAAAAATCGTGGATGGCAGGCATACAATTAAAGTCTTAATGGACAGCTTATCCAGTGAAGTTAGAGAGATAGTTTCTGAATGACAGCCAGTGAAGGTTTTTGGTTGCTGCCAATTTGCCGTAGATTTCATTGAGTTTCTTCCTTTATAAGTTCACTCAGCGTCCGAAAAGCCTAAATAAAATGAGGAAGAATTTTTAACAGGAAAAATAATCATCATCATTCATTTTGGCAAAATTCAGTCTTATTGAATGAATGTTACACAATCACACAACTGCAACTCTCTTGGTTGTTAGTTAAATACTCTCTTTAGCGGAATGTTTTTCTTGGCATAAACTAAATGTCAGGAGCAGATAGTGTTTATCAGTGTATCCAGTATCGATAATTCTGTGAGGCTACTTCATTAACAGAGCCAGCCATGCGGGAGCATCTGAGGTGAGAGCTTCCAAGATCCCAAGGCCTTTCCAGCATGAACATGGCGGGCTGGAATTCAGGAGGGCATGGAAGTGGTTGCTTTCCCCTCTGCTTTCCATTGCCCCACCCCTCGATTAGGTTGGTTCCTTCCCACTGACATCGGTAAGTTTTTCTATGGGCCACATTGGGTTCACACAGCCCAACAACCCACACTACAGAGTAGTGTATGGGTTGCCCTTGAACTGTAGGTTGTTGTTAAAATGTGGGTTATTGTATTGTTTGAACCCAGCTGTGTTAATCACAAACAGGCATGAGGAGAACAGATGGTTTGTTGTTGAACTGTGGACTGTGGGTTGTTCATGGTTAAAAAACATTGTTTGATGAAACTGACTCAAAGCAGCGGATTAATTTGTGTGCATCTTAATGCAGACAAAGGAAGTGTATATCTCTGCAAACAATTTGAAAGAAACTGGACAGCATCTGAGTGGGACGATGTAAATTGGTGTCTGCAACAGCAGGGATTGGACCCAATGGCCTTCATGACCCCTTCCAACCCTACTATTCTATGAGTCTGTGAATCAAGAGAGAGATTTGCATACCTCCTTTGCCATACGCACTGTGTTAACTTACTCTTTGTAACATAATTTTTCATTTGTAAACATAAAAGGGAACACTGTGCACTTAAACTGGAATCTTCAAATCAAGGGGTCTGGTAAATAGCTAGATGGTCATAGTGGGGCTTATTTACCTGGACTAATAATTTTAAATGAAATAGTTGTAATTTGGTACAGTTTTCACATGCCAAGCTTCCCTTTGCTTTCCACAAAACCAAACGGCATGCCCAGCCCATGGGCCAAGTCTACTTGCCAGACTCCAGGAGACAACCTTCTCCCTCTCCAAGCCCTGCCTCTTCTGAGCTGTTCGGGAGAGGAACTCTGCTGTCATCCCCCAGTGTCATCACCTCCAGTTGGGAAGGGAAGTGATGTGCTAGCCCGGCTCTCGGTTGTGACTTCCATGCACTGTTCAGAGCTCAAGGGGAGGACATCCTGCAAAGAGAGCCCTTGGCCATCTGGTGGGGCTAATGGGAGTAGAAGACAACCAACAGCTGCCACATTGACCCTACAGCCAAATATCAAGAACTGTGCTAGTCTTTTTTCTTTATGAACACTGAGATGGCAGAAGCACTTGCCTGGTCCATTTGATCCGGAGAAGCAAAAGAGAAGGAAGCTCTGATATAGGGACATGGTTCTGAGGAATCCGTCATAAAAGCTGACCCAGGAAGCAAAGATACCTACAACGTTTATTGCTTTTATTACTCACGTGGCAGTAAATGTTAAAATATGCATTCATCAAATATAACCTTTCTAGACTTATAATTGTCTCCATATTATTTCCATATTAGGCCAGAACAAACATTACTTTTGCCTAGCAATGTATCCAGCAGCTATGTATTGTTTTCTTGTTTACTCAAGAGTAGACCCAGGGCTCTTGAGCCAGATCTTAAACTCTCCCCCTTCCCCATGCTAGGTTCTCAATTCAAGCCAGGGTCTCTGCACCTAATCTTGAATAATAATACCAGCAACAACATGTAGCTACCATATATGGATTTAAAGAGATGTCTGTTTTGGCCTTAAGTGAATGGAAGGCAGGAGACAGGACCAAAGGAGACAAACCATAGCTTAGAAATGAAGCCCAATTTATTTTAATGTAGAATAATTGGTAGAATAATATATTTCCCCCTACCTTTCTCTTCAATGCTTTTTCCATGATCATCGGATATGTGTCAGAAATCCCTTTAATTTTAATCCATAAATACAGACCAGCTTTAGGGACAAGCCAGTCTGCTAAACCTAGAGGACAAAGCAAAACTATTAAGCGAAGGTACAGTAATGAGATGATCAAGCATGTGTATTCCCACAGAACTGAACAATTGTGACAGCTATACTCCTGTAGAACAACACTTCAGCCTTCTTGCCTCTTCAGGGAGTTACCCAAAGTGTTTATTGCAGGAAAGTTAAGGTACTCTGTCAGATTGTGCCAGTTTGGAGATATCCAAAATAACTTGTACATGTGCATTCCATCTGAGCAATAAGCACAGTGTCTCTTAATATTTGAAGAACCCAGTTCACACAATCTGAGTTTACACATGTGGATCAAGTAGACAACCATTAGACCTGGGTCTATAGTTGCATTGGCCAGTTTATTGCTCAGCACTTGCAAAGCAATTAATTTGAGACACATATTAAGATGATTTTAAAGAGAACCAATTCTGAATCAAGATTAACTCTGCACCCAATTTAATCTAATCTTGGTTTAGTCAAGGCATTTTGTAACACAAAAGCCATGTGTAACTTTAAGGTAATTTTAAAAAATTGAGCTGCAGTCTTTAATTTTATCAGATGCAAGGAATGTGGAGATTTGTGTTATTGTCACTCTTATTCCAACTCTCAGTCAATAAACTCTCAACAAAAGTAAAAAAAATCTGGTGAATTGGATCTGCATGGCACTTTCTCCAGAGTGCTGTAATAACCCACAGGACAACATCGAAGTCACTTCTTTCACCTGACACAGAGCTTCCACACATGCACTTCTGGAGGAGGCCAGTGCTGCTGACACAAACACTTGTCACACATGTGATGTGGACATATAGATCAATAATGGACTGGAGAAGCATGTGGAGCAGATAACTGCATTCTCTTTCAAGTAGTATCTGTCCAATAAAAATGGACAACGGTGCAGTGTTATGCCTGCACGGTTTGCTCACTGACCTTTCAACCATTTCTCTGCTGCAGCCAGCATTGCATCTCTCTGTTTTTTGTATAATTCTGATACTCTGGAAGCAAACAATCACACATTGTTAGAAAACAGAAGTGTAGCACTTCCCTTCAATTACACTCAGGAAGTCGCATTCAACACAAATAGAACAAAAATGTGCTGTGATGCCCTCCATCTTTGTATGTTGGGAGCCTACAAGAGACAGATGTTTAGGTCAGATGAAAGCTAGAAATAGTTCACTGGGAAGAAGTGATGGTGAAGTATGTTTCTTCTACTTTTTGTTTTGTGTACCAGGCAAAATGCATTGATACTAACGTAGGATGATTGAGGAATTGGATCTTCGTGAATTCCCATGCAAACTCACCTGATTGTTATCTCCTGAACTAATAAATGGATTGGAATATAAAAATCGTAAACATCCTTTGGTTTTTGCACTTCTCAGGATATTGTGATGCAGTTGTCAGCTCAAAAATATTCCAAAATATATCTTGAAATATGTATTCCCCCATCCAGGTGTTGCTTTGGTGACTGCTTCATCCCGTACCTTCTGACCACATTTTCTCTGTACAATTGACTTTATTAAATGTTCTTCATATACCGTGGAATCAGCATTTGAGTCCTCCTTAGTATTTCTTGAAACCATTGTGTGAGGGAGCCTTTCTCTTCTGTGAGGTCATGGCTGTTATGCTAATGCCTGCCAAACTCCACTGTGGTAACAGGTCATCCAATGATACCAAGAGAACTAAAGTGGGCAGGGAGCTCAGATGTTAAGGAGTAAATGATTAAAGGGAGAGGTTCAAGAACGAAGGACTGCATCCATCCAAAGGTCTTCTCAATGGTAATGCCCTTCTTGAGGAAATCTTCCAAAAGAGAGACCCCCATATTTTATATTTTTTTATGCCAGGCCACCTTTTTGCCATATTTTAATTCATGCATTTCCACATTTTTATTTGTCCAGATAGATAAAAAGCACCACTTTTTATTTACTGAGTCCATTTGGTCTTTTATCTGATTTTACTGATAAATTGCTGCTGTTTTCTCCTTTTTGTCTGCTATTGGTTTTATTTTATTGTAATTTAATTGTCTCATTATTTTTGTTCTGTATAGCAAGCCACCACGAGCACTCACATTTGATAAATAGATAAATTAAAAACAAAATTAAGTGACTGCAGAACCATTTTAAGAGCTTTAAATGGCATGCAAAAGTAGTAATGTGTGATAGAAATTAATGAAGATGACACAGTATGTGGCTCCAAACATGTTAGTGTTTTCATAAATCCTTTACCTATCCACATGCTCCAGAAAACCATCTTGCCCCCACTTTTTAAGAAGTTGGAATATGAGGATCTGCAAGAGGAAAAAAAACCCCAGATTGACTTCGTAACCTAAATCAAATCTGCAGGATTTGTGACTTCAAGAAGAATTCCATTTCTGTAAAAGATTTATCTAGACAATGTTTAAAATGGCTTACTAGCAATATCTTACTAGCAAATTTAAATTTGGGGTGTGTGTGTGTGCACAGCGTTTTGGATATAAAAATCAAATTTGCCCATAGTACAAGCTCTTTCCACAGACTGCATTCGCAGAATTTCTGCAAGTTCTTCCCCAGCAAACTACAGTAACTTTTCTTCTTGAAACACCTCCCAGTCATGGTTTCAGAAGACCTTTTTGTGGCAGTGCTATGCTGTGTCTGAGCAGGGCTGTGTTCCCCCTGCCTCTCCCTGCCACTGAAAGAAAGGTCATCGCCTGTCCCCCCTGGGCAAGTGCTCAGCTTATTTTTCACTACATTTGCAGTGCTGTGCATGGCACTGACTCGCTGCTTCCTCTCCCTTGACCTCCTGCTTTAGTATTCCAGGTATGAACTTGTTGGGTGTGTGTGATGGGTGCACACGCTGCAGTTGTTACACCAGCAATGCAGTCAGCAGAAAAAGCTGTCAGGGTGCTTGTGAGGACAGCCCCACTGCCCCGCACATATGCGTAGGATGAGGTCTCCTGTGCCTGTGCAGGATCTCGCCCTCATTTTTGGAACAGAGTTCCATTTTGGAACAAGGTGCTTATCGCTAATAGCTGTAGGTGCGACTTCTTTCCTTTTTGACAGGGTCATTCACCAGCGTGTTCCTCCCATCCTGTCACTGAGGTGAGGACAGGAAGCGTGAGGTGTGAAGATGGCAGAACCCTTGGCTTCCGTCTTTTGCTTTCGTGAGCCCACACAGCACAGACAGAGAGCGAATCAATGCCCCCCATTCCCCCCTCTTAGTTTCTCTGTTCTGGTAAAGGGAGTGGCTGCTGGAGCAGAGAGCTATGGACCCGCAAGGGCTGATTGTGATGCAGTGCACCTCTGCCCTCCCACCTGTATTCACGGTCCTGCAGCAGTTTGCCTTAGAGTCGCTCTCCTGGGCCATCAGGATTGCTGCTGGAACTGAGAAATGCAAGTTCTGCTTTGTGAGGTCTCGTTTTGTGTTGCCCTTCGGTGGGTCCGAACACCTCACAAATCACCGCTTGCCCTTTCTGTGCGAAGGGTGGCCTCTTCCCTCTTGTAAAATGTAGTTTGGCCTCTAGGGTAGAGCATTGTCCAGTCCTGGCCTCCTTTAAGTAAATCCAGTTGATTGCAGTAGATTTTGCCTTCAGAGAGGCTTTTTACTGGGATCCTGTGCATGCATTAAAAGAACAGTAGGGTGATCTCTCAAGCAAGTAATTGTGGGTTGCAAGCCTATACTAATTCTCTAGGAAAAAGCCCTACTGCACTTAAAAGGACTTATTTCTGAGTGATATTGCAGGAGTGTAGTGTGAGTTCTGAAAAGCGAACTGATAAATTACTAACACTTACCTGTGTAAAAGTGCTGGTCTGCATTGTTGAAGCTTGTATATGTAGGATAACCTTGTTGATAAGAGGTTCAGGTCCTGTTAGAAAGCCTATTCTTAGCCTAAAAAGAGAGTACAAGAATAAGTTCAAAGGCAGGCAGGCTAGCAATATTTGTTACATAAGGCATTGGCACTATGTATTTGTTTTTCTTTTCTAAAACGGACTTCTAGAGTTTACTTTGCAAAGGCCATCAAACCACAGAAAACTGCATAAGCACACAGAAAACGTGAATTTTCTGAATTTGACAATGAAAACTTTTTCTCTGGCGATGCTGAATATGTTTGTGTCAAAATACCTCTTCTAAACTATCTGCCTAAAGTAGCTTCTAGTTAAGGTGATGAGTGCATTGAAGATGGTAAACATGTTCAGTTTGTACTCACCCAGCAGAGACAACCTTAGAGAAAGAATCCCCTCTGATGACTCGGCCGTCAACATCCATTGAAAGAAAGGATGGCGCTTTTGTCTTCAAACAGAAAAGGCACTTGGTTGTTAAAATGAAAACAGCCATTCAGCACATTGGATCAATAAGCAATCTTAAGGCTTGGTAAGGCACATGCGATGGGATGGAGTCTTTTCCTAGGTGTCAGCATTACCGATGAGGGACAGTCATCGGGCAGTAATAACTGTTGCAGCCCTCATAGCCACAGCCCCAGGGAGATTCCGAAAATCCAGGCGTCTTGTTGATCCTTTGCCAACTGCATGTATTCAAGGGCTGTTGGATCGCAGCTTTGGTTAAGCTGACACACTCACAAAGGTCCCATCATTATAGACCCTCAAATTCCACTGGTTATTAAAGCAAAACCTTTTGAGCTAGTAACTTGAAACTTGATGTGGTATGCAATTTTACATAATGTCAGGCTGAGCTGCTACAAAGTGCCACAATTACAGTGGCTTAAAAAGTGCTGAAAATTGACATATTTGTTCTTTTTGCTTCAAGCTGTGGCTCAGCATATCTTATACCACTTACAAATTTGGGTGAACACTGGAGAGGTGCTTTGTTCAGGCTTGTTGAGAAGGCATACCTTTCATCAGCCTGGTTAAGTTCGAAGCGGCAGTTCAAAAATAATTAAGGTTTTCTATCCCCTGAAAGCTCAATGGATGGCAGAGTCAGGCATTCTTTGTTTCACTTTGAAGTGAGAATGTTGTTTGTATTCCAAGGTTTTCAAAGGAATTCCGTAACGGGACTTTTATGTGCCATGCCTTTTCGTTAGTTATGGAACGTGAATTCACAAGGTGAGAGCCTGCATCTTATTATATGGAATGGGATCCCATCATGGGCAGCTAGGGAGACCATAATCCTGTTTAGTGGACATGCAAGGGTGGTATTTCACACTAGAGATATATCTACACTTTGCACGGAATGTCCGTTCACACTCACTAAGCTGATTGGGAGACTCTAGCCCTATTTAGAAATACACTGAGGAGAGGGTAGGATTACCAGCTCTGTAACTGTGAATTTCCTTCTCACATGGTAGGCACGTCATAAGTGGAGCTGGCTAGAGCCGGGATTCAGACTAGATGACCCAGGAGACCCCTTCTGACTCGCTCTGTTTCTATGTTTCTAAATCAGGGAAACTTAATGATAAACAATCCCTTCTGGTTTAGAAGGCTACATGTTGAGTTTAAGGAGATAAGGGTATTTCATGTTGGATCAAACTCCAGAGAACCGGGAAACTGGAAGCTAAGATAGGTTGGTGCCTTAACCAAGGCAGCAATATATCCTTGATCAGTGACACTGGTGCAATGTCACAAATTGTGCTTGCTCACTACTTACCCTCCATGCACCAACATTTTGCCTTGGTCATGACAACTGCCCCATGTTATTCTGCCCCTGTATTGCCTAATAAAGCAGTGAACCTTGCTAGTGGAAGAGGGCTACTTTTCACCATTCAGCTCCTTCTGTCAGCAGCAAATGTAAGCAGCAGACTGGCACAGTTCCCTTCATAAGAGGATTCCTCTAGAAAAACAGTAAAAATTCAGTTTTTTTCCAAGGCAATACATGGCCAGGACAACATGAAGCAGCTTTGTTGGTCCAAGGTACTTCATTCTTCCCATTTGGATTTAAGTCCATTGGGTTTCCATAGTGTTTATAAGCATTGCGTTTATTCATTATCACAAAGCACTCCTACCAGAGGCATTTAGTAAGCACTCATGATTCTTTACAGTTGTTATTGAGTTCCTTAGAGAATACTATGATCCCCTCCCCAGTTTTGTTTCTATGTTTTAAGAGCTCTTTTTCTAGGATGTTTAAAGCAGGGAAAACAGGGAATTATTTTTAAAAGCAAAAGAAAAGGTACTTGCCTACTTGTGTTTTTGAGCGCATTGCACTATAGAACAGTTCCACCTAGAGCAGGGGTCTCAAACTCAACTTACCTGGGGGCCGCTGGAAGTAGAGTCTGGGTGAGGCTGGGCCGCATCAAGTATTCCACCACCGCGGTGGTGGTGGGCCGCTCATCCCGCGTCGCTCCTGGAGGCCGGCCCGGGTGCCGCCGGCGCTTTGAAGTCCGCAGGGCCCCTCCCCCGTGCCCCGCCTGTCCCGGCAATTGGCCCGCGGGCCGCGAGTTTGAGACCCCTGACCTAGAGGCTGTGTAGTGGAAAAGCAGGAAAGGAAAGACTGTGCTGGGCTTGGATCTCAGTTGTGTGATGACACCAAAAGTAGTCAGGGTAATTAACAGCGTTGTGTAAGGAAGCTCAAAATATTTCATATTTTTCATCTCTTTTGACTGAAATGGCAGAAGGACAGATTTCCAACATTTTGTGAGTAATACACATGCCTCGGCTAGGATACAAGTAACCATTTTTTAAATTTTTATGACTTTTAGTTGCCTCTGATGAAGAGAGGTTGCTCTTCAAATGTAAAAAGGCACAACAGGTGTAATTTTATGATGTTAAGAATAATATTTTCTTCAGCACATTCTTCAGTTTTCTTCTGCCCCCCCCCCTTTTTTGGTGGGAGGGGTTCCACCCAAAACTCTGAGGATCAGCTACTGGCCCTTTCACAATGGGTTGAAGCCAGGTGTAGCTATATTTTGGAAAGACTCAAAGTCAGTTATGATAGAAGGCCAGTCTTGTGTTTCCTTATCCGCCTGAAAGAACTTAGAATTTAAAAACAGGAATTGTATGAATTTTTTAAAAAACATTACATTGAAAGGATACATCAAAGCATAACAATTCGTACATATGTACGTAGGTTTGGTTTTACCTTTTCAAACTGGAGGAAGTAGTATGGATCATCCTCTATGATAAGAAAGTTGTATTCTTGGGCAAGCTACAAAGATAAAAGATAAAAATGGTGAAATGGTGAATTGTGATTGGTCTCTATATCTCATGTTATCAACAAGCTGAAGCAACAGTGGTTCCATCAAAAATGTGAACAGCCTTGCAGGATTTCTGGATGCTTGTAAAAATAGGATGTTTCTGAACAAGGCTTTTATTGTGTAATTGCACTGCCTCATTTATGGAATTTTATGGGACTGGAAGAGATCCAGACATTGTTGTCTACAATGCCATCTGTGTTCTCTCACTGGCTTTTCCATCCAAAACAATCAATTAACAAGGAAAAGGCAGAAAAGTTGCACAGTGCCTTTTGACCATTCACCCTCTGCCTGGCAGGAACCATAGACTCCTTGAAGCTATGCCTTTTGCATCATTTTGAAGAAGCCTCTAGATTCCTTCATAAATGCCTTGTTGTACAACTCTATACCTAAGTATATATAGGGTATATCTATAGTATATACAGTATTATTGAAAGTACCCAAAGTGGCCATCTAAACAGCAATGGATTGACTATTTGGAGGATGAATCCCTGCCCCACAGGCAAGGAATCCTAAAGTTCCATGAGACCACCACCATCCCCAGCTGGCCTCAGTGGGAGTGAGCTAGCATCAGCCCAAGTGAGTGGAGAGCCAGCGTCCATTCTGCCACTTGGTACCATCATTCCAGGGAGCAGACAGTGCAGGCAACAGCAGATATAACGGGAGCAGCACCTGCTTCAAATATCATATGAAAACATGTGCGCGCGCACATGCTTTGGGAGGTTCATATTGCCGAGTATGCGTGTGTGTAGTTGTTAGGTGTGCATATATGCAAAAATGCCCCCTCTCAAAAAGCCAAGCCAAGCCAAGCCAAGCCAAGCCAAGCCAAGCCAAGCCAAGCCAAGCCCTTTCTAATGGTGATGATGTTTAGACCACAAGATTGGCCTGGCTGGTCAGTAACCATTTAACTGGCAACTCCAGCTCCTTCCAGTAAGTGTTTGCTCTTGCTAGAACAGTAGGTGCCTTCTGCTCTCGAGACTCTTTGATCTTGCACTTGCCTGGCATTCACTGGCCTGTCTCCTGTGCTGGTTGGCTGCTTCCCTTCCCTTTGGGCTGGCTCTTTCAGCCCAGTTTACAGCCCCCTGCAGCAGCCTTGCCTGGACTCTGGCTGCAACCTGGCTATTCCACATGAGACCTAATCTGGGGGTTAGGTCTCATGTGGAACAGCCCAATCTCAGCCTTTCTCTTCATCCATTCCTTGCCATAGAGGATAGTGTGCCAGGGAGAAAGCTAGGCTAGAACTTTTCTCTCCCAATACATTACTTTTCTATTTTAAGAGATATACATGTCATGAAGGAGCATTTTAGCATGTTATCTTTCCCGCGCAGTCTAAAGCAGTACAGGTCTCACACGTTATTTCTGCCTCAGGAAGAGCCAGGCCACAGCCATTACTTTCTTGTCTGTAACCTCATATTTTTTTCCCTGGTATTTCTCCCTGACTGTCTTGCCTTTTAGTGCCCCCCTATAGAACCAGGCTTTCCATTTTTGCTTCACTGCTGCAAGCAGCAGAGAAAAATAGGATCGATAGTTCCTGGACAAGTCTCTTCCATTCCGTGTTAAATTCATTGTGCTAACAGCTGCTCTAGGCACATGTCTAAAGTTGCCCAATGGAAACACTGCCCATGTTTCTGCTTGCAAGTAAAAATGATGCCAGCATCTCATGGATTACCTGGTAAATCTCTTTCTTGCGGTCTGCTGTCAAGGAGCTCCCAGAAGGGTTGCCACCATTGGGAACAGTGTACAGGAACTTGGGGATCTTGTTACCGGGCTTACGCACTTTGTCGGATTTCCACCTGGAAAGAATCTCCTCTAAGGCTTTTGGAATGATTCCATGAGCATCACTAGGGACTTTGATCATGTTGCATCCCAAGGGCTGCAGCTGTTTATGAAAAGAAACAAGGTGTTACAGATAATTCAGTATGCAGGTGACAGAAACAATTCAAGTCAGGACATTCCGTAGCAGTAGCTAAACTTGGAATCATGTCTCTGTTTGTTCCTTAAGGGTGGTCCCGAAAGGTCTGTAGCAGGTGGCAATGAAAAGACTTAGTGACAGACAGGATAACATCTGCCCCTGTTCCTGCAAATGGCTTGAAACTTTGTGCACCATTGACCTGTGCTGGAAGCTGGACCTTGTAGTATCAGGCTACAAGTGAATTGGTGTGGCAAGTGAATGCACCAAGTGCTCATGCAACCTTCTCCTCCACTGCTACCTCGCTTTCCTCTGGCCAGTGGAAGGTTTTAGGCTCTCCAATAGGCAGAAGAAGAGGGTGGTGACAGTGGAGGTAGCAATGATTAGGTTCACACAATCACCACAACCCAGTGTGGTTTATTTAAGCCACAGTGGATTACAGCATATGCCAGGCAACTTTTGAACATTCAAGCCATGACCGCTGCTTGTTGCATTGTTTACACCCACTGAGGATGAGCTGTTGGCATGGTTAACAAATCTCCTTTAACGCACAGGCTGTTGTAGAGTTTGTTGGCTGCTTCATTAACCATGCCAACAATCCACTTTTGCTGGGTTTGGGTGACACAACTAGCTATGCTCATGGTTTGAAGGTTCAAAAATGGCCCAGTATAAGTTTAAGGCACAACAGGCTCACGGATCATGCAAACCAGCCTAGTGCATTCTTCTCGAGTCCTTCTCCAATCTTGTTCATGGAAAGTTTCAAGGTAGGCCTTGCTTGGTGTGACCAGTTTACTGAGAATTCAGCACAGCTATTTGCAATTTTAGCAACACCTTTCCTTTCCAGTGAAGCATACATGGCCACTCTGATTCCCATTAGCAATCTTGATGATTTCTAAAGCATCTTATCTGCTGCACAGAGAAGCAGAGCTGCTGCATGGTTATGTGCCCCCCCCCCCAAAAAGGCAACTCACCGCTGCTAGTGTCCCAGTGAAGTTTGGATCATCTAAAAGGATATTATCTCCAGGGTTGAGGAGCATGTCATAAACCTGCAAGAGAAGAACAAAAAACTGCACATCAGGGAGTACTGAACAGTGCTTGATTTGGTGGGTGGCTTCTCTCTTCAGCTTTTAAGGTGCAACCCTATGCATGCTTAGACTGAAAAAAAGGCTTATAGCATCCAGCATGCCCCAACATTTTGTAGTCCCTTTTCTGCATAGGATCATGCCTTAATATTAAAATATTTTTGTGAAACATGAGGAAAAGAAGATATGCATGGGAGCTTTTTGCCCCCCTGTCTTGGTTGGTAGACATATGGATTATTTTTCAGGACTACAGTGCAGGAGAGAAGGTCTTCCCATGCTGTACTCCCAATTCAAGTTGTGTTGTCTCCATGTATTTTTATGTTTACATTAACCTTTCCACATGGATGTGCATGCCATGGGTTAGATCCAGACTTAGCCCACAGAAGCAGAGAACTCTGCCCCTCTTCCCACAGAGGCCCTTCTGGTTCTCTCCAAATGCTACATAATGACTGAATTTAGAGAGCATGCTATTCAAAGATTGAACTGTGGGCTTTTGTTGAAGCATGAGTTATGCTATTGTCTGAATCCCACTGAGCTAAGAAATAGTTGTGAGCAACCCACACTTCGTAACCCAACAACAAACCATGGGTTCTCTTTATGAATAATTCATGGTAAACAAACCATGGTTAAGCATGTTTCAACAACCAACAGTTTAATAGCAACCCACACTCAACCTTTGAATGTGGATTATTGTGTTGTCTGAACCCAGCCAGAGGATTAGCAATCCTACACAATGGAGTAGGCTGTGGTGTGGGAGAAAGAATTCTGAGGTCTAGGCAGAGGAACCTCCACGACTGGACATGATTCTATTTCTGTGGTTTGAAAAATCAGGCTAACTAGCATCACATAACTGTACAACTAGAAGTATTCCCATTTGCTTCCGGTTCTGCTTTCACTGAGCAGATGATCAATGTGGGTTGGATCTAGAAAAAGGGAAGTGATTTTTTCACCAATTCTTTCTTTTCAGATGCCTTGAAAAGCTGCTCTTCATGTGTGAGATGGTGGTAGAGGAAAGGGGACCCAGAGGGAGTTTCCTTTGGTGTATCCCACAAAGGAATGCTCCAAATCTATCCCTCATTGATCACTCTTAATGGCAAAATATGCACAACAGAACCATCATTACCTTTGCCAGAATGCTGTACTTTTATTTTTCATTGTGAAGTAGTCAATTCAAACATCTCCAAGTATTAACTTTGCCCATCTGATGTCATGGAAGGAAATAATTTCTTCCCCTCTTCATTTCTGATTTGATTGCAAAAGGTTTTCTTCCTACCCCACTGATCCTGAAGCCCCGATCCTGGCATTATCATCCCTCACAGCAGCAGTGGCACAACAATTGCATAAGTGAGGCAGCAGCCTCTTGCTTTCCCTAGGACCACAATCCAGTCTGGGTTGCTACTTGACTGAGAGTGATAGCAGTGGCAACACAGTGACCTGGTTGGAGATTGTGGTGTGTGAGTGTGAGAGACTGTGCGCATGTGCATACGTGCTGAGTCCCTGCACCCTTGTGGACATCAAGGGTGGCCCTGGGGCTGAAAAGGCTGTGCGCCCTTCCAGCAGAGGAACCCAACCATTGGACGCATTTAACTCAACGAGCCCATTTATGCCAGTATTTGAACTGAACATACTTTGCTGAGTCCATCTTGGCTGCCTGCAGTGACACATATCTTCATTTGGCCTTTCTCAGGAGCATATGAAGCTGTTGGTGGGTTATGGAGTTTCATCTGTAATTTTTCTAACCATGACAATAATTCTGGAATTCTGGAAGATAGATTTTATTATTTTTAGAATGATTAGGATGGCATACATAACATTCAACTGCAGTCTAGTTTGACAGTTTTGGATTAAAGATCTGATGAATAGCAAAACATAAAAATACAGGCTTGGCTCTAAAGATAGCTGAAAGAAGTTCATGAGGAAAGTTTCTCATTCTTTCTTTCCATCTGCAGTCACCCCCATTCCCAACTCACTGGAAAGGAAAATCTTCCTGGAAAATGTGAGGTAGGAACAGGAGGCTGCTGGAGGACTGAGAATTGAGGAGCCACCTGAAATTTATTTAGGAACATAAGATGGTGTGATTTTGAGTTTCCTTTTGCTTTCAGCCTCACCCACCCCTAAGAGGTTCTCCAAAATGGAATTTGCTCCTTTGCCTGAAAGAGGTTCTCCAGCTTTCTTTCTGTGTATGTATAATTTATTGCTCATGCGTTTTGTTGTGCTTAGGCAGGAAATCATAGGACGTAAGACTAGATCGGAGCGAGCAACTGTTTGGAGTCCAGGCCCACATATCCTCAGAGGTCACCGCTCAGATGCAACTTAGGGCATGGAGTGGAGACTAATTAAAATCCATTCATCTATCATCCATCTACCTTCCGATCCATTCATTATTTTTCATATCCATACCACCAACCATTCACACAAAAGTCAAGGACACCATGTGTAAACAATCTCATGGAGTGCCTTTCTCCCCATACTTCTCCAACTGCCTTAATCTCTCCTCAAATTCAGCATCACCCATAGATCTCCACCAACTCACTTTTATTTTGCTCATGCCCACTCCAGCCTGTGCTGTTATTTGGCTTACTTGAGCATTTTTGCTTGTATTACTTTGCTCCATTCAGGTGACAACCTGAATATGGGATTTCTCCTCAAGTACTAAGATTCCTCATGCACAGACTCACTTGCAACAGCTGCTACCCACTATGGGGCATAGATAATATTGGAACTCAGTCTGATCTAGTTAGGGTCCTTACTCCCTATTATCCTGGGGTTAAACTGGATTTTAAAAAGAAGCAGCTACTGTGTGTAAGGTTGGATGAGTACCCATCTGCAGAACTGTACTGGAGAGCTCTCTTCATCAGTTCTTCCCCAATTTCAATGGTTGTTCCATCGACAAGGGAGATACTTGCTGTTTTGATTGGGAAATAGTCCGGGTTTGGCAAACCTCCAGAAAGCATGATTATGGAGGGCATCATCTCTACCAGTTCATCTATTGTTAACATAAGTAAGAGAGAGTCCACTAAGAGATTTTGAAGCTACAAGAGACAATGACCATTAATAGAAAAAATGAGCAAGGTAGCACATATTATTGTTGTCAAAGATACAAATCTCATGATAGTAACTCCTACTAATGATGATAAAATATGTACTAGCATATTAACAAATGCATGAATAAGGAATTATATGAATATATTTATTATGACCAGCTGGTATTCTTTGGACAAGAAGAATGAGGGACAGTGGGACAGAACTGATGTGGCAAGGAAAAAACCTCGAATAAAGGTTTTGTCATGGTGAAAAAATGAAATTAAATTTGAAGTTGCATTTGTTGCATTATAAATTGGTCACTAGAACAAAATCCGTCCATTTCCTTTTTGAAAGAGCTTGATAAAGGCTCGTGTGTGAAATATTATTTGGAAGTAGTACTTGTAGAACAACTTATGTAAAAAAGTTTAATTTCAAAGCTACTAAGAGTAAAGGAATGACAGAAAAAAATCTATTGAGGCCACTGGTATCTCTTTTGAGCTCAGTGACAGAAAAGTGAGAAGCATGGCTAAGCCTAACATTTAAAATCTGGAAAAAGATGTGAAAACAAATTTGTATCTGATACATGAGTGAGAAGCCAGATTTTTGAAATACAGAAGAATGTGAAACATGGCAGTTGTTATCAGCGCCTTAATATATGCTAGATTTCATTTTGTATAAGCAGCTCTCATGTCTATGTTGTGATTCTCTAGCTGTACACAATTTTGGTGGTTGAGAAATACATTTGTATACTTGACTAGGAATGGTGAAATGGGTGGCTTCTGGAGGAAGAAAGGTCTTCCTGGAAACTAGAAATGCAAACTTAAAAATTTTCCCTTGAAACTTTTCATATTCTGTTTCAAATAGGCTGTATTATTTTCTGGTGCTGGATAACTTCAGTTCTTTCAAGAAAATAATTACAAACAAAGCAACCAAACAGCCAGTGGTTAAATGAAATGACTCATAATGAGTAATTCAGTGTTTTCTATTTGTATTGTGAAATGCACATTTATGTTATTACTGGACAGTCAAATGTAGCACATTTATGTTATTACTGAGCAGAAAAATTTTGTATACCAGCTCAGACAAAGTTTTCACCTAGCTCAGTATCTACTCCAAAATAGCTCTGTAGGTTGTCAATCAAATGATTGTCCCATCACATACTACTAGATTCTTTTTTTAAAGCTGGAGATGCCAGGGATAATACTGTGCATTTGTCCTAGAGGTTCTCCCTGTCCTTTCATGTTGCTGTTTCACACAGCAACCTCAACATGACCCTAGCAAGCACCTCCAAAGTGCATCCATTTACTGTAAAGCTAACATTGCATGGAACACATCAAACAAAAGTACTGATGGCTGTAGCACTCACTTGTCATTCTTACAGTGTTTGTTTTCCTTGCTGCACTTACACTGGACAGGAAATGAGAGTAATCCATTGTGTTGTGGCAATTCACGGTTCCAGACTTCATTGGAAAATCACATTAAAAATGTACAGAAAAAGGGAAATATTACTTTCGGCTGAACTTTCTAACATCCTTTTCTTAAGATAGTACATTCAGCTGCTAAAAGCAATAACAAATGACACCAAATATCATTGCTAAATTAATGTTAATTGGGGGGATTTGTAAATATCACATTAACACTGCAGCATTATTTGGAATAGAGAAAGGGTGTCTATAAATTCCTTTCAAATGGCAGGAGAAAAAAAAGACTTTATTGATTTTATCCAAAGCAGGTTTTATCAAAAGTGACAAAGCCAAGTAAAATGGCCATGCAGAATAGTCATTTAGGAGAAAACTCTGGCGCAGCCCAGAGCATTTCCTTAACCAGGGAAATGCCCCGATTCCAAAGTTGGGGCACCACTGCTGAAAAGACCCTCCTCCGGGAGCTCTCTTTGAAGGACATTAGGAGGGTAGCTACCTGGAGAAGGGACTTTGCAACACGCTCCCCATGGAGATATGCCTGGCACCATCACCTTATTCTTTTTGGTGTCAGGTGAAGACCTTTTTATTTTCCAATATTTTAACAGTTCATTGGTTTTATCTTTGATATTATCATTAATGGTCGGATGCAGTGTGTTGTGTAAGTTGTTGTTGCTTTTAGTAAGCTGTCCAGAGACTTTAGTAGTGGACAGCATATAAAAATTTTAAATAATTAAATGAATAATAAACCTCTCTTGTTTTTCCAGTTTTGGTGCTGGTTACAGATACTCTCAGCCATCATGCCTGCAAGCTGTTTCTGCTTCTTTACCACTTTCCCTTTCTGCTGTCTACCTTCTAGAGTGGCCCCAGGCAATCAGGGCTCACAAAGTAAGCCTAGTAATCTCACTGAGTGAAAATGCAGTTGACTTAGAGCACAGGCAGTACTTTCTGGACTAGAGGGATGTATTATCCTACCCAGCCATGACCTCCTTGTCTCTCTAAACAAGCAAAGCACTTGCAGACTGAAAGAAGGAGTCGGGGAGATATGGTGGACTGCCTTCTTTAAAGTGGCAATTTGCAAGCACTAAAGTGGCAAACCGCTTGCAAACTACAAAGACAAACTACAAAACTACAGTGAAAAGTATTAATTGACTAGAGAGAGACAGAAAAGGATTCTGATTTTTTTATTCCTATATTTGCCCCAGGCCCATATTAAAAATGACCATAGTGCTCATTTTTGTGAAGAATGGAATGGCCTCTCTTTTTGGCTCAGCCATAATACAAATAATATTGCAGTTCATAAAGAAATCCTTAAAATAAATTTAAATATATGGAACTTACAGTCTATAGAGAGATGGAAAATGGGCAGAAAACACCAGATGTTCCAATAAAAACTATTTTTCTTCAACCATCAGACACAGAGAACAGCTGTTAGATTATCGTAGCAGGACAGAAGGGTTCTTCTTCAAAGAGGCAATATACGGGATGACTCTTTTTTATTTCAAAATGCCCCCGTCTCAAGCAGACTTTGCCCAAGTGCTTAATAATTTACTGAGGAAACAGTGGACCCTCAGGCAGTGCTAGACTTTGGATTCAGGTCCTCACCCTTTAGATGATGATGTGTCTTACTTCGGTAGGTGCTAGGCAAGTTTTGCAAGGAAGAGATGGCTGAACTTTCTGCTTATCTTCCCTTGAAAGCTCATTGTCTTCCAGTGTACAGCAAGAGCCCCTATACCTGAAGCTTGCCTCATCCTAGCATAGTACCTCCACAGAAAAAAACATGAGGTGTATCAGGGTGCTGTGCATATTGGTTCTCATGGAAAACCCATTGCAGGCATTAACACGGAGCACATGGTTGAGCACACATGTGTTCCCCCCCCCCCCCCTGTCTTCACGTTCAGCAGAGGCCCCATGCAGGTCCTGTGAGGTTTCTATCACACTCAAGTGAATCAGATTAGAAATCCCTGCAGAATTGCTTGCTCAGCACAGAAATCATGGAGGTTGTGCCCTGTCCCTTTTATATATGGGCATGCATCCTGTTTGGGAATGATGCCTGAATAGGGCTAGAGTTCCACTGTGGATCTGACATCAGAATATAAGGAGAGCCATGTTGGATCTATCTAGTCCGGCATTCTCCGTGGCTGATCATCTCCCCACAGAAAACCCACAAGCAGGACACGAGAGCAGCTGTTCCCTCTTATGCCTGTTCCCAGGAATTGATGCACACAGGCATGCTGCCTGTCGGGACTGGTTTCAATTAATACACATATTCTCTGCCCAATGCAACGATGCAAGCATCCTTCTCAAAGGAGCCTAACACTAATCACCTCCAATAGTTAGAAGGCACACTCACAGCCTAAGGTGGATGTTTATTTTCCATGTTTGGCAGTTCATGGCAAACACAATTAAATAGTTAGAGACATTTAAGCCAGCAGTTACTTTTCTGACAAAGAATCCATTGTTCTTATCTTTCAAAAAAACACTTCTTTCTTTGTCTCAAAATGTGCAAGCTCTGCTTAATGTTTCCATGCTCAGCACTCAAATGATTACTCTGACTATCAAGCAAACAACAGCAGGTATGTCCAGTAATGACTTACTCCTCTTTCCATGCTAGTTAGCACTTCTGATTTTGAAATGTTCAAAGTTCAAAGACAGTGGCTTCAAGACATTAAGTTCAATGTTTAGAAGTACCTAATGCTGATATTAACACATCTCTGGCCACATATAGTTTTGATTCTTACCATCTTCTTATGAACATTAAGGTCAAATTAAGAAGTTTATAATTAAAAATCACTACTATGCCACCAAAGCAGAACTATAACAAAAAGCATCATTATATTGAATCTCTCTGCTGCCCACCCAATTAGCAGAGACATGAGCTTTCTGGGTCTAGTCATAAGGGTGTACCAATAACTTGCTTTGTGTACTAATACCTTGCTCACAGTTGCTTTAGTATCATAGAGCAATCTAATAAGTTGCAACAGCCTTTTCCTTGAGTCCCAGGCTGACCTTAGGGAGTAAGTTTGACTTAAACAGCTGCATACACAAAGAGCAGTATCCAGCTACATCATTCTGTAAATGATGCCTCCATCTTCTTTCTGCCCCTTTCAGATTCTTCTATACATTTAAGGCAAAGGGCACAGTTCAGAGAGGGTTACCCTAAATCCCATAAAAATGAGTGCTAAGCTAAATCAGGAGACTTGTGAACATTCTTTTCCTCTACATTTTTGTTCCTAATATGTATATGCGTGTGGGTATGTATATTTCATAGCTCTTTGTGAAAAAGTGTGCCATCTCCATTCATATGCTTCCCATTTCTAGTATATATGTACTATGTAGAGCTGTTTGTTGTACTTTTAGAAAATAGTCAATTTTCTTCTACTGGAATTGCAGGGAAGGCTATTGAGAAATTTATTTATTTAAAACTCTTTTTATACCGTTCACTACCGACGTCTCAGGAAATTATTAACCCACCTATCTAAAAAAAATATTAGGTGTCTTCTTATGGAACGTGGTCAGGATCTAAGGCCGCTTCGGGGCTCCATCTGCTGGCTGAGCACTGGAATAGGAGCATTGGTAGTTGCAGGATTGTTCTCTCAGTATGCTGCAGCTGCTAGGACTCTGATGAGCACCACCTGGGAGCCCTGGGGAAATTGTGCTGGCTCGTCCCTCCAGAGGCTGCTTCAGCAGTAAATGTTTCCTGGCTTGCTGTGGTGTGTCTTGTTTCCTTGTTGCTGCCGCCGCCGCCGCCTGAGCTCCTGCTTCTGGCTCCTGCCTTGGCCCCAAGGTATTCTCTCTGGTTTGTGTTGCTTTACCAGTTACTCTCTCCTGCCCTGCCTTGCTTATGCTGTTGTCTAGTGGACTGTACTTGGTTACTCTTGGCTCTGATTTTGGCTTATTGGACTTGATTGCCTGGATCTTTGCTGCCCATATCCCCAACTCTGACAAATGCTAAGTGCTGAACCCCTGAAAATGCTTAGTGATGCATAATTAGGCTCTGGGTGACATCAATAAGTGCTTATCAGCTGAATAGCTTGCTTGGAGCCATTTTGTTGTATGTGTTGTTTGAAATGCATTAATCAGATATGTGTAATTAGGTAACTTTTGCCACTCTTCACACATTGGAACTATTGTTTGGAAACACTTAGCAAAGGCCAGATCTTTACCAGTTGGATCAGCCACGTCTTACTGAATAGTCTGATGGGACATGAAGCCATCGACAGAGCATGGCAAGAAGGATGGCATTTGCCAGATGGCCTTGGGCAGTGGTAATAGTCCTACAACATTCAGGATGAGGTTAATGGGAAAGCTTCATTTGCCTAGAATGGTACTGACAAAGAGACTGATCTGATTGGCTATGTGTTGCTGTGAGGGTGTTATATTTGTGCTATGATCATGCATCCATCTCTGCAGTGAGAACAAAATGGTATCAATGTGTCAGCAGATTACGGGGGCAATAGCAGTAACAGGCATGAAAAAAATAGGAATAACTGTGTGCTATTTTGGGGTGCAGCATTCTCCAGCAATAACAACTTTCACAGCAGCAGCCAAAAAAAAAAAAAAAAAAGTCACAGGAAAATCAATTAGTTAACTGTGTGCACAAGCCTCTTTTGATTTAAATTTAACCCTCTGGTTTGCCCCCAATATATTGAAATGGTATAGCTTTTGTGTTCCAGGTTCTGTGATCAAAATGATTAAACTTTGTATGGAATCTTTAACATTGGCATGCTTGCATTGATAGTCTGTATGGTAACATGGATACTTCAGACTATTTTGGGGGAAGTTCATTAGGATCATACGGGCTTCCATATGTGTTGTTGCATGATGGGATGCTAGCAGAGATGCAGGGCAGACTTAAGGCCTCAGCTATTATATATAGTACTAAATGTTGTATGTTAAAATCTTTGAACGTGGACCTTATTCAGGGCAGAGATATGTCTTAGCTTCACTCTTGATTACTTGACACAGTACATTAAGATAATTATTGTTCTGCAGATCTTAAAGTTAAAAAACAATCCATTAGTGCTCTAGATTTTCAGCAACAAAGCATTGATTTCCTTTCACATAATACAAAAACAATGTTTTATGTTGTAATGAATTCCTTGTAAAAAAAATAAGGCTATAGAAAACATGTCACTGAAATATATCTTCCTGGGGACAGTTGTTTTTATTTGGACAGCTAACGTAAATCATTTTTAATTGGATCGGAGATATAAAAGAAGCACCCAGGTAATATTTATTTGTCACAGTTTTACCATGATTAATACATTTCTACAAGATTTAAACAGATAATGCAGCCTAAACATCAATACCCAAAACAGTGACAGATACTGCTGCGTCTAAGGAAAGAATTTGCTTATTAAAGTTTGATGCAGTTTGATAAAGAAAGAGATTCAACTGTTAATGTTAGTTTGCTAAAATATACATCCCATTTGTGGTCCAGGCACAGACTGTGATATTATAGATACTTAACTGGAAGAAAGATCCTCATGGGACTTACTTCTGAGTAGAGATGGATAGAATTGCACTGGAAATTACTGGAAAGCTAGCTTCTTCATATGAGCCTCCAGGTATTGTGGTCTTAAATTCCCATTATCCCTCACTATTGACAGTGCCGGCTAGAGCCAGTAAGAGTTGCAGACCAAAACACTGTCATCTACCATGTTGGGGAGCCTAAGCACTATGCGATATTCTCTGTGCCACTCTGGTAACTTGCCAGAAGAGGTCGCTATTGATCCAATATTCACTGTGACTATGGATTACCATTGCAGATGGCTTAATGCTGTAGTTTTGGTTGTTTGGATTGTTAGGGATAAGGTGACATGATGGACCAATGGGTTTCCATCTGGCACTGAAACATCTCTGATCCTGCCTTGATTTCTTAGTTTGAGCAATTCAACTTTCAGGGAAGAACAAGTTGTCATGGAACCTACTTCTTTGCCAGCTCTTTTCTCCGCATCACAGTTCCTCACTCATTGCCCTACCGGTTCTCTTGTTGACTCCTTTCCACCTCAGCTGTCCAGCAGTTGGTTCATTTTATGCTGGACTTACAGGTCAGGTGGGAGACCAGAAGTTCAGAAGAGTAACTACAAATGCTACCAAATAGAAACCAGTGGCTAGCTGGTGCAGTTTAGGAAAATGAAGCTGGAAAGTGCTTTTTAAGGAAACTGCTGTTGAGAACCAGGCAATGCCAAGGAGCCTCTTGGGTCAGGATCTGGGGAAGCCTAGACCCTCAGAGCACCACTAGAACAGCCTTGCAAGAGGGGAGTTTGGTCTCTAGGGTGGTGACTACCAAGCCCTGAGAACATAATGGTCTCAAGAGGTAGGAGAAAAGGCTTCCTTTGAGAGGTGCTTGATTTCAAAGGAGAACTCCTCAGGAGCAAGGCCCTCCTCTGGACTTAGGGAGGGCTGAGGAAGAATTGCCATTATAAGCTTTCAGTTTTAACCTAGCTGCTGTTGGAGTAATATTGTTGTATTGGTGCCAGTGACTTAGTCTTTGTTTTCTGGACCATCCCTTGTGATTGGTCCTCTGTCTATTGATTCTTGGACTCCTGCTTGACTCTGTGTATTGTATCTGACTGCTTCACTGTGCTTTGACCTTTGCTGTCTTAGTTTGTTACCATATTGAACTGATAACTTGTGCTTGACCATTTGCCTGTTTTTTGTTGCTTTGCCTTCTGAATTGCCCCATAATTTGCTGTAGTGCTGACTGTGATTCAACCTTAGCAAGGACCATGTGGTGACAGCATAATATGATGTTTTGAAGAGATCTGACCTATTTTTCCCAGAGTTCCCATAGTAACCATGGCACAAGATCAGATCAGAGTTCTGGCTTTATATTAATTTGTGTGTTTAAGTAGCTGGTAGTAGAGAATTCAGTTTACAGAAACACCTCTTTTATTAAAGTGTAAAAGTTCTCCCAGAAACAATCAAGCTTAGAGTGACAGAATCTTAATTCCATCTGTTAATGTGTAATCTAAATTCACACCTTATTTAATTCAATCAAAGGAATAGCAGTAGCCTAGTTTGGGAAAACATTTCCAAATAAATGAAATGTTAAAATGATCCATTTATACAGGAAAAAGAGCAATCCCGTGGCTTTTTCAAAGGCATTTTGAGGAGCCATAAAATCATGAGAATTCCTCTGTGTCTCTGGGGGCATAGACACAGCTATCACCTGTACCAGTGGAAACTGGCATGTGGATTTTTCTCCCTCTTTACAGGCATTTTTCTGCCTCTTACATTCCTGTTTACAGCCCCTAGAGAAAGCACCATGGTAGCTGCTCTTCCAAGGACACAGAAGGTGAAAAGAGGCTTTCCAAGGGGAGGGAAATGGAGAGAGAGAATTGGATCCACTGAATTCAAGAGACTTTCAGTTGCTGTCACTCCCTGATTGCTATTAAACAAGATGGAGTGAAGCATGTCAAGCTGACAACTTTAAAGCAAGATGAACTGAAGGCTTAAATCCTCCATCCTCTTCCTACTCTGTCTGACTTGTGCCTGTGGAACTTTAACTATTATTACTATTATTTATTCCATTTCTATACTGCCCAGTAGCTGACGCCATGGGTGGTTTACAACCATTCATAAAAACAACCACAATATCATTACTCTTTCTCAAAATACAAACATTAATCTTTTTCAAAACAAAACAATGCTCCCCCAGCTAAAAGGACATCCAAGGAAGCGTAGCTCTGTAAAAACACCTGGGATGAGTAAGCCCTTCAACCCTTACTCATTGCAACACATATCTTTAAAAGTTGCAGCATAAAGGGCCATCTTAACCTGGTGCCAAAAGGATGACAAGGTTGGCGGTAGGCAGGTCTCTGTGGGAAGGTCATTCTATAGATAGGGGATCAACAAAGAGAATTGTTGCTACCCTCTGAATAGCCCTTGGAGCTGTTGTAGTCTCAAGCTATGTAAGGCTTCATTGGTTAAATTCAGCACCTTGAGTTGGGCTTGGAAGCATACAGGCGACCAATGCAAGAGGACCATAACTGGCCCTGCACACTGGGGTCTGTGGGCCTCAGTTATTAATCTGGCTGCTGCTTTTGGCACAAGCTGAAGGTGCAAGGGCAGCCCCATATAGATATATTGCAGTAATTGAGAGACCACCAGGGCATACTTTACAGAAACCCATCAGCTGCTAGCCAGCCTACACACCCTTTCTGGGGAGAGATAGCCAGAAGGCACCCCATGCCACTGGGAGCACCTGAGTCTCAATTGACAAAGATGCATGGTGCTCCTTCAAAGGGAGTGCAACACCCCCTCCTCTGCCCATCAGATCGGGTTGAACAAACTCCAGAGGCTCAGTCTCTTAGGATTTGCACTAATCTGTTGTGCAAATAGGACTCTTAGGATTGTGATCTAAAATATTTCGCCACCAAATATGGGATTAGTTATATTTTTCAGATGATAATTGAGCAAAACAAATTGTCTAGTTAGCATTCCTCAGACTGTACAGCATTGAAAACGAATTAACTGCTTATGGCTGTTGCATCAACACCTTTTATTCAGAGTGGGCCCAGATCACATGCTATGGACAAAGTCAAGAAATTACTCTGTTGCGCTGTCAGATGATATCATAAAGAATGGAGATCAAGTTGTGCTTGGTTGTGTCAAGTGTCCAAAGATCCATGCTTAAAAAAATTGCCTTGATGAATGTGACGTGTCAGCACAACTTCTCTCTCAAGACTTTCAAGTTGCAATTATTGTTTCTGTATGGTACATCTTCTTCAGAAATAAGAACAGACCTTGTGTCCTCAAAGGCATGGCTCGAAGCATTTCCTCACAATCAGTTTTGCGCTTCTGTTGCATTATTTATGTTAAGACTTGATTGTTGCTCTTGAACAAATGAAAGCTGAGAGGCAGTGTTTGTAATACAATCAGTATTCCAGGCCATGTGGTGCTTCATATTTGCATTACAAACCTGCATTGACACAAGAGCCCTTTAAGCTTCATGTATGAAAATGTCCCAAGAGGTGGAGAGAGAAAGGAAGAGTCTTAAAACACAATGATCAAAAAAGCAGAAGCTAGTAATCTGGAATGATAGATAGCAGCTGGTCAGTCTCCCAGGCCTTTCAAATTGTGAACATTTTAAATGTATGTTTTAAAAATTAATGTATTCTAAACTGTGGTGGAAGAGTTTGAACACAGTTGCTACTTCCCTTTGTTTTCAGGGCAAAGAATGCTTAGAATGTCTGCCTGTCTTCACTTCTACTTTCACAGAGAAGTAAAGTTTACTGAAAAGCATTGGGTAACTTCTAACCCCATCCATGTAGGTGTAATAACCCTTAGTAAAAGTTGGCACTTGTGCTTCTTCATTGCAAGAAGGCGCCCTGAATTTGGGAGGGAACCTTTGTGAGATACCGTTTAATGAGGAGATCTTAAAAGTCCCTATATATAAGAAACAGCTCTTTGTTCTGGTTGGATCCTGGCCACATATGCTACCCGTAGGTTTCCAGCCTGCAAATGAACAGTTTATCACATGTAAAACTGGCACTGAAATATTTATCACTGATTTCCAAGATTTTAGAATCACTCTTTACCCAGAGGGTAAAATTGTTGAAAGTTCATCCCACAAGTGAGAGAAAAGCAACTATGCAAAGATATTAGTTTAAAATGATCCAATCTTTCAGTTTGTAGTATAGTATTGCTATAGGAACAATTCATTTGATCCTTTTTTTAGGCTACAAGTAACAAATGTTTAACAATATACAGAATGTCCTTTTCTATACTATACGATTCTCTTCTACATGCTCACGAATTTAAAAAAAGCCATGCACATTCTCTCCTCTATTGTTAGTAGCAGAAATTCAAATCTGAGCTGGTTTCAGACACAAAAAATGTTCCAGTCAAAGGCACAATCCTATGGCTGCTAGATGTTGTCTAGATGGCCATTGGAAAATCTGGAGCCCCAGCTGGGAAAAAGTGCCTTCAGGGTGGAGCTGGGGCTCTGACCTTAACAATGCCTACCTTGCAGCCAGTGTATGTTTTTCCACACTGGCTGTGGTTGCAAAGTCACGTGCAATTTTGAAGGTGGTTTATGGGGGACATTCCTGGGGATCAGGAGTGGAGGAGCAGGGATCTCCCAGGATATGAGGAGTCCTGGCAGTACTCCGTTCTGCCTCCTCGTGAGCAAGGGTGAAACACTCAGATGACTGAAAGCAGCTGCCTACATGTTTGTAAAGCAACAGTGGCCTCCGAGTTTACAGGAGTGGTTGCTTTTGCAAGTCAACGTATAATATGATAAATCCTCTTTGTAGCTGTTGCGGACTGACGGATGGAAAGTGTGGGGGAAGGCACATAAGAGTCCAAGCTGTCCAGTCATATTTGGACTTAGATTCCATTTTGCTTCTAGCATCTTCTGTCTCTGAAAAAAGCTAGTCTAGAAACAAAGTGGGAGAATGGACAGACTTCCAAGAACATTGGAAGTCTGCCCTTTTCAACTGGAAGCAGAACAAAAGGGGTATTGTTAGAGGCATCTAGGATAACTCTGAGGCAGCCTTCACCAACCTGGTACTCTCCAGATGGGTTGGAAGGGTATTGAATTCCTTTCTCCTGAGGCCCAAATGTCGGAGAAGCACTTAGGGAACACATTCCCATGACTTGCAGGACCAAAGGCCAAAACACCACCAATTTCAACATATTTTAGCTTAAAGCTCTTCTTGCTAGTAACGAAGCCTCAGGAAAGACATTTCAACATTTTTGAATAAGGGGAGAAATTCACAAAAGCTGAGAAACCACCAAATACTTGATGCTTGGGCTACAATCTTTTGGATAGCTCCAAAGGGTTGGATTTGGCTTGTGGATGAGGTTCATATATACAAATACACCCCTTCTGTTTGTGTGCATGTGTGAAGAGGCAAAAATACATTCTTGTAAAACAGCTATTACTGTCATAGGCAAGTGGCCAGTAGGACCAATACTTGCATAAGCGTTGTCTATATGTCTGTCTTAAAGTATGTTTCATTTACTGTGTATACTTACTCTCAGGTAAGTATGCACAAGATTGCAGCTTTAATCCAAGGCCTTCAAAGCAACAAGGTGATGAGGAATTGCTTATGGTATCAAAACAGCCTTTAATTCTGCACAAGTAACACATATTTGACTTGTACCCTGCCTTTCTGCCAAGAACATTAAAAAAATCCTTTAAAACTTGTGTCCATTTTAAATGTCAAAGCAATGTAATAGTGTGGAATATGGTTAATTCAGAATATTTTTGATTAAAATATGAGGAACAGAAAAAGATACACAAGAAGATTAAAAGGGATAGATTTTATGAGTTAATTTCAGTCCGGCAAATGTGAACTTGCCTCGAAATTCATAATGCTCAATGTCAGGCAGAATAAAAAGAGACAAATATCAGCACTGTAGAGCCTGAAAGATATTAAACTCTTTGCTGGCAGATGGTGTTTTCTTTGCTTCAAGTAACACTCCCATGGCAGATTAGTTAATCAGTGTGTAAGTACATATATTACCTTAACTCAGTGTTCTGAGATGTTAATATACAGCCTCAAAATAACCATTCCAATAGGAAGAAAAAGTAAAACACATACATTTCACTTCACAGCATACTCTGAAGAAAGTTGGAAACCCAAATGGAGTTTCTCTTGAACTTTCTCTAGCTTTTTAAGCAATGTCCACATGGGGAAATCATACAGCTTCTTTGATGAGTTCAGCCAATCTTTGAAACCCCTGTGTAAAGGAATAAAAATGAGGAAGATCATTGGGATCTGGGACAGTCAAGGATGGGCCCTGAGTCTGCACATGAAAGTGTCACACAGGGTTCAATATAGTTTTAGTTATTCTAGTTTGTATGCAATGTTATATTTTTAAAAGACCCACTGAAATGAATGGAATGGGTCAGACTGACATTGGATACTACTGTTTCTCCTACCAATGTGAACTCATGAACAGATGTGCAGGCATGCAGTGGACATTCCAAGGAATGGGAGGACCAAGTGCATATTCTGTATCTACTTCCATCTACCATACATGTGCCTGAAGAGCCAGAGTGGGATTAAAAAAGTGTACATAGCTTTCCTATTCTCTGAAATTCCCCCTCGCTGTTGTGCATTCAGATTGATGCAGAGGAAACAGAGACCTAAATTAACAGAGTTGGCTACTTTGATAGACAAACCAGTTTGATGAAGAATGAGACCTGCAGAACATTTTGAGGTACACCTAAAAATGTAAGTGGTATGTATGGATACGCTTGCACAATACAGAAGAAACTCTATGTCACGTGTGCCTGCAGTGGAAAGTACACTTCTGGTACATAAGAAAGGAAGATGGCTTTAAGGTCACCTTACCCTGGGGTGGGAAACGTAGGGCCTTCCAGCTGTTTGAACTACCATTCCATAATGTTGTACCTTTTATTTTTCATGCTGGGTTTAGCTGATAAGAGTTGTAGTCCAAAACAGACACTACACTGGCTGTTCCTGCTCTTACCCATTAACTTACTAGGTCCTTGTCCCAGCAAGCAACAATTATTGAGTCAATGCCAATCAGTCTATATCTATATCATCTATGTCTATGAAAGAAGGCCTTAGATGCACAAACTGGCCCAGAGTAATTGGAAGATGATGGCAATCGCATCCCTGCATTTCCTGTGGCAGGAGGGAAAGCACTGAAAGTGGGGATGAAAAAGTTTAACTGCGTTTACAGAGAAGTAGATTTAGAGATAGCAAGTCTAATAAGGTAGTTGGCAAGATGGTCCAGCAAAGCTATGCTCACCTGATCAATTTGACTTGGAGTAGACAGTGAGAAGGAAGCTCTCACATAAGGGCTCAGATCGGAACTGCTAATGTTAAAGGCTCTTCCAGGAACCAGCAGCACCTAAAGAGGAATCTTTCTAATTCAGTTATTAGAGTCTTTGTTTTGTTCAAATATTAGAAATTGTTCATTTATTATGAGCCCTCTTTCCCAGTACATATTTAGATATAGTAAATATTTTGCATACTTGTTTGTCTAAAGCTTTTTTCATGATCAGGTCCTGTGTGTCAGAAACTCCTTTAATTTTAATCCATAGGAACATTCCAGCGGCAGGTGAGTGCCACTCTGCTAGGCCTTGAGAGAGAGAAACAAATAGCCAGGTGAAAACACAGGCATGTTTAAGGTGCTACTTTAGAATAGCACTGGAGGTACCCATCAAGCCATGTGTTCACTTCTTCAGTCTTATCCTGGAATACAAGAAACCATTTGAAGTCTACATTCTCCTTAGGCAGTGGTGAACAAAGTAACATATAACTTCATTTCTGCAATAGGACTGGATTTCTTTGGTTGAAATCCTGTGTGCCCATGGAAATAAGTTCCTCAGAGTTTCTCAGCAGGTATGTATGTAGTCAAATATTCTATTTTTTAACTATAAATGAGAAATTCTGCACACAGCACATGGTTCAGCTATGGAATCACTTCCACAAGATGGAGTGATTCTTGCCAGTCTGGATGGCTTTCAGCAGGGACTAGGGAAATCCATGGAGGAAAAGGCTCTCACTGGCTCCGAGTCCTGGTGGCTCTATGGTATCCCCAGTATCAGGCAGCATGCTTCTGTATACCGGCTACTGAGGAACTTGGGCAGGTGTGTGCTTGCATGTTTCCTGTGGGCAGCTGGTTGTCTGCAGTGTGAACCAAATGCTGGACTAGATAGATTCTTGCTCTGATCCAGCATGGCTCTTCTAATGTCATTATAAGCATCATGAAGTTCTGTTGAACACCTGCTGTGCATATCTCCTTACATGATACTCTGCATAAACCAGAGATGTAGAACATCAGGTCCTAATCCAGACATCCCCTGACCCCAACCCCCTATCATTTGGTGGCTACCCAGCATTTGTGCAGTTTTTGTCCAGCTCAAAAGCCATGCCTCTCCCATGGCTTATTTACTGGCAGTAAGAGTTTAATGCATAAATATGTTAGTGCTTTTGGTTCCATCCCTTTTGCCTTCAGTCCCACCCATCCCGGAATGCAGTATTGGAGAGTTTCTCTGAAATGGACTCTGGCCCTTATGTTGAAAGAGATTCAGCATCTCTGCTCTAAACCTCCCACCTTCCTCAGTTATACACAGGAAAATGATGCTTTATAATTCAAGCATTTATCACTTTCTCCAACCTTTTAGCCACTTGTCTGCCGCAGCAAGCATTGCATCCCGCTGTTTCTTGTAGAAATCCACCACACTGAAAAACAAAATAGGAAAATAATCAGCGAGAAGACTCTGTTTTGTTAAAATGCCAATGGCAGAAACAAGGCATGGTTGAATTTATAATGGAAACATAAATCTCATATAAACAGAGGGCTGCTCTGCACAAAATAGCTTGCACACGGAGGTTGGCTTTAATTCCTCACTGCCCAGAAATCATCCATGTGCATTAGCTAACCATGCAAAGGAAGAGTTATGAGCCTCATTCAGGCATTCAGAATCTGTGTACAGTGAGTGCATGAGCAAAAGCATATTGCTGTCCTACCCGCTCCTTGGGTGTTTCCATTGCCCTGTACTTGTGCAGGGTGACTTTCTAAAAAAGAGACCCTGATGTCATGGTGACAGGCTGAGACTCTCCAACCCCAGGGCTGCCTTGTTGTGCATGCAGGGCTTGTCCAATGGATTTCAATCAATCTCCTCTTACTAAGTCTATAACCAATCCTATGAAGAAAATGTCATTGTATGCTGCAAAACTCAGAGTTAGCTAGATATTTTGGTACATACAGACTTAAATCAGTGTGAGGGCAATGATGAACAAGTAAACAAACTATCATTAAGTATCACTGTATTACCTGTCTACATGGTTCAGGAAACCTTTTTGTCCCCACTGTTGAAGAAGCTGGGCTATTATAATCTATTGGAAAAAAGGCTTCAGTTAATTATCTTTAATAAACAGAATGACATAACGTTTAGGGTTTCTGAAAGCCATGCCATTCTATGAATGCTTGCTTAGAAGTAAGTTCAGTGGGGCTTATTCTATATTATGCTATACAGGATTGAAATCTAGGCTCCTTTAAATTCCTTTAATAATATCATTAAACCTATATGCCAGTTCTCAATTTCAAGGTGCTCTGCCTGTATAACTCTGTTAAAATGATTAGGTCAAGAATAATTTTGAGTGATTTGTACAGCCTCAATCAAAAACTGAAGGCCTTGGGCCCTTGTTTGTCCCATTTTCCCATGCCATCATTCTCAATTACTAACCTGAACAACAGAAAGGGAATAAACAAGAGGCCAGCTGAAGAAAACTTTATGTCCCTTAACAGGCTGTGTTGGTAATTAGCATCACAGATGTCAAGGGTTGAAAGTTATTTAAATGAAATCCAGTCCTCTTAAATAATTCATAAGGAACTTTTAATATGTAGTACAAGTAGCAGGGTAGCATGAAGGTATTCTGAACATCTTTGCCTGTATTTACACCTTTGTAATCCTTTCCTCTTTAAAAAAATACCTCGTATGAGATTTATGCTGAAATGAAAGTACAAAAGAGCTGGGAATGGAAAACTATGAATAATGAAGGATTTTCTCGGTGTGACTCTAGATGGCTCCCCAGTCTGCAAAGCAAACCCAACTGGATTTTCATACTGATGTTTCCTCCTAAAGAATCTCTATATAGTAAAGGCTCCTACCTGAGTGAAAGTGCTAGTGTGCATTGTGGAAACCTGTATATGTAGAATGACTCTGTCAATAAGAGGTTTAGGCCCAGTTAGAAACCCAATTCTTAACCTATGGAAGAGGAGAAAAAAAAAGATCTTATTCAAACATGCTATTAATATATACATTTACAATTCAGAGTCTTTCTGTTGACTTCTGTCATCTCAATTCTGACACAATGAAAGAGAATTGTTAAAGAGGACAATCCTGTGCTAGCTGACCACATATCTTGGAGTCCATGCAACTTTAGCTGTGGAATGAAACAATGAATGGGGCTGATTGGCCACAGTGCAGCAAATCATGATAGTTTTTCTTACTTTCCTGTAAATGTGGACAGTCCCTGTTAAGACCGGGATCACGGTGCTCTGGATGGAGAGGTTAAAAACGCTCCCACTGACTTAACCTGAGATGTTTGATTTTTTTTAAACTGTTCCCCCATCTCTACAGGGGTAGATTGAATGCCAGGAGAAAAATAGGTGAAAGGAAGGACTAACCACAGTATTGTGATCTGAATTGCGGCACCTTGTGACCATATAGAAATAAAACTATTATGTACTAAAGTATGTGTGATTAGAAGAACTGGTCTGTTGAAAATGGTGGAAGAAGCTAATGCTTATGTAGGAACCGGCCCTCCTCCCAAAATACAGCATTCCAAGGTGGATACCTCAGACTGTGACTCTGAAGAGGAAGGAAAGGAGGAGTTGGAATACTTAGCTGAATTGCCAAGGCCAATGAGTTGTAATTGAACCATTTGGTGAGAACTAGATTGCCTCTGGTTCAGGGGGAGACACTGTTGTTGTTGTTGTTATTTTGTGGGAGGATGGCCAGAAGAGAAGGGGCATCCAGTGGTTAGATGCCAGATTAGTGGACTATTAAATAATTGTCCAGTGCTCTCACCATCTGGCCCACAAACATCCAACCCTGCTTGGTGAGGAGGGAGCAGGGGAATTCATCTGGGAATCAATTTCCTAGAATGAGCAGAAGTAACTATAAAATTAGAGGGATCATTAACTTGATAGATGTGTCTTATTAACAACCTCCATATTACTCCATTGTATTAGAAAGTCAGACCAGGTTGCCCAGCTTAGCATAATCAGACTGTTGTTAGAAGTCTCTTGCCTTGATCTGCTGGGAAGTCAAAGGAGAGAGACCAGCTCACAGTGGCCTGTCTAATTTCTTTTGTATGCGTCATATCAATAGCTTGAGGAATCACCCAAAGTTTTCATCCCACGAATCTGAAAAACCCAGAACCCTCATCATTAGATCCTTGCTGTAACTGTAGGGTTCAGATGTGACATTCTCCTTACCCAGAAGAGAGGATCTTGGAGAAGGAGTCAGTTCTGATAACTCGGCCATCAGTGTCCATTGAAAGAAAGGTTGGTGCCCAAGGCTTGAAAAAAGAATGAAACAGTTTGTTATTAAAAGTTCATAGTTGAATTTCACTTAAATATGTGGCTTCTCTACATGAGGCATTTGTTCTGGGACCTGTTACTCATAATAATTCCCAAGTCCTTTGCATGATGATGTTATCTTTTAGGGTCTCTCCTGTGTTTTGCAGCCATTTAAAATTGAGAAAATGAGCCATTATTTCCATATTTCATGATGAAGCACTATGAAAGCCTGTGTAAATTCATAGCTCTGTTATACCACAGCACTACTTTGGGGTTGTGAAATGGAATGTATGGAAGGGCACGGAAAGCAAAAACTGGAAAAAACCACATGCAACTAAGACAATCTTACTCCTGTGAGGAAAATGATAGAAGCAGCCCCTCAAAATGCAGCTGAGTAAATGCTTCATGGAGAGAACACCAAGGAGAGCAGGATCATGTGGGGAAGTTTTTATTTTTTAAAAATGGTTCTTATTGACAGCTTTGCATTCAGATGTAGGCAGATGTAACTGGTCTAGTGAACCTCCATACACCTTCCTCCTCACAGCAGCACCTTAGTCCTGAAAATACAGCTCAGAGGGCCAGGGACCATGCTGCATGGGGTAAGCTGTGATGTGGAAGATGGAGGATTCCTGTAGACATTGCTGGGGCAGAGCCCTTCCATTCTCAGAAGACAGATCCTGGATCCAATCTAGTGTTTTCAACCTATTTACACAGCAACATGGCTCTACCCGTGGGGAGTCCTGCTGCCCCTCCACACACTCTTCCTCCTTATGGTTCAGGTTTTCTGCAAAGAATGGAGGAATGCAGAGATGAGTGGTCTGTCAAGTGATGGAGAAGGCAGGAAAGCAGAGAAAAACATGAGGAATTTTGGAGTAAGGTAAACTGCAACTCATCCACTTCTATCTGTTACTCTTACACCATCACTTATGATGACCTTCTCCCCATTATTCTATACTCACTCTAGGACTGGTGATGTCCTTTACATTTTTCCTCCTCTCCTACAATGGATCAAATATTTAGAATGTTCTGTGGCCCCCAGTATTCTAGGCCAGTGATGGCGAACCTTTTAGAGACTGAGTGCCCAAACTGGAACCCAAAATCCACGTATTTTTTGCAAAGTGCCAACACTGCAATAAAACGTGAAAACTGAGGTTTTAGTTTAGGAAAAACACCTCACAGCCAGTCCAAGTAAATCTCTCTCTCTCTCTCTCCTTGGCAGCACACCGGCTGGCCATGTGAAAGCTTGAATGAGTCGCGGCGAATGAGTCGTGGCTTATGACATCATTGCCTGGCTACTCCTTTCTGAGCCATGTGCATAGCCACTATGTGCACTGTTATCTGATGCTCGGTTGCTGGGGCGATGCTGGGGCAACTTGGCTCTCATGCTGACAGAGGGGGCTCTGCTTGCCCACTGTGGCATGCATGCCATGGGTTTGCCACCATTGGCCTAACCCTACCCTGGTGCGCTATCCTTAATATAACCCCCTAACCTTAATGTAGGGGTAAAATACAATAGAAAAGTATAGATCTCTCTCTCCCTCTCCCTCTCCCCCCTTGGCGGCTCACTGACTGGCCATGTGAAAGCTCGGACAAGTTGCGGCTTAGCCAATATGTTGTTTCTTTGTAAACCTCCAGGACTTGTGCATTGTACCCAGCCTGAAATCAGCTGCCTTCAGCCACAGTTAAGTGTCTTGTTCTTTTGCAAGGAAGTCTGCAAAGTCTGAAATGACAATGTGTTACGGCTAGCAGGGACTTAGGCATTCCTTCCACTACATGGAAGCATATGATAAAGAAGTAAATGAGCAGTACAATCTCAATTTACTCAAGCATAAATACCACCAAGTTTAAAGGGCTTTAGTCCCAAGTGCAGGTGGGCTTGCATGGATGAATATAGGGACACCAGTTCAGATAAAAAGGATCCCTATATTCAGTGATGTTGCCATACAACATAATACTATCTTTTAAGTATGAAAGAAGGAAAATGTATCTGGTTGACTTTAAAGAATGTGGCCCAATCTAATGTTCACTTCCTGGACTAAAATGTGGATTAGAAAAAAGTTACCCTTTATTTGCATCTACGCGCTTCTTTGAATGTTACACTGCAATTTTCAGCTCATGTGAAACTGACAGATATAGGGAAGGCCAAATTAATCTCTTTCCATTTCAGATTTAGATTTTTTTGAGACTAACTTTTTAGACTAGTGTAGGATAAAATAGTGGTTAGAGTGTTGCACTGGGATCTGAGATCTGTGTTCTACTCCCCTTTAGGCCACAAAACTCACTGGGTGATTTTGGGCCAGTCACTGACTCTCAGGCTAGGCTACCTCACAGCATTGTTGTGAGGATACAGTTAAGAAGAGGAGAAAGATTACATAAGATACCTTGAGTTTCTTGAAGGAAAAAAGGTGGGCTTTAATAAAGTAATACACTACTGCTGATCGTTATTTGCTGTATTTTATCAGCAGTTGTAAATTGTGGATCTTGTTAGCAGCAGCTTCTCAAGATGTAGAGTATAGATTTTGTCCTATATGGTGCCTTTAACTTGCCTTCAGTAGGATGTGAGTAATTCTCTTCACAGAAATACTTCATGAGGTTTTAATTATTGGAAATAATAACTGTGATAAGCTGTATACATATAACTACTATAAAAATGAATGTTACTCTGAGGCTTATAATGTCCCTTTGATTAGGCAGTTTGAAGAAAAGTACCATGATTGAACAAAATAAGCTACTGAGTGGGGTCAGATCACTCTGGAATGTGGTATTAAGGATGCAACTTAGTGCAGACTTTGCTACTCTTTCCAATGCAGAAAACATCTAAATAGCAGTGAATCTAACTTGAGGCCTCACCTTATTGAACTGAAGAAAGTAATATGGATCATCTTCTATGATAAGGAAATCATAGTGCCTCGCAAGCTGAAAGAAAAAAACAAAACAAACACCCATACATTCATGAGTTCATGAAAGCTTTCAATCAAATCAAGAGAGTCAGTGTGGTGTAGTGGTTAAGAGCACAGACCTGGGACTCAGGATCTCTAGCTTCTAGTCCCTGTTCAGCCATGGAGCCAAATAGGTGACTTTGGGCCAGTCTCAGGGTGGTTGTTGTGGGCATAAGATTGATTGCAAAAGGAGAATGATGTAAGCTGCTTTGAGTTCTTTAAAAGAAAAAAGGTGAAATATAAATCTAAGAAATAACTAAATAAATCAGAATGACTCCAACTTCCATGCAGTCCAATTTTCCTTATCCTGCCCTCTCACATAATCAAGTTGCCTTCAGATGTTCCAGATGAATCCAAGCCTAATTTTAGTTCAGGTATGAAACACACACACACACACACACACACACACACACACACAGTGTCTTGATCCCAAGATCAGTGGACATTTGTTTGCCATAAAGCTTGAGAATAAAGGATTAAAATGCAATACAGTGATTTGAATGCAGCAGAAACAGTGAAATGTTCCTAAACAGTTTCCTCTTATCAGCAGAAAAATGAGTTCATTGAGGAGCTGATATCTTAAATGTTTTTTTAATATAAGATGGTTGAGACAAGTGTGGGAAAACTCTGCATATGATGGATTAAAACTTCCTGAATCATTGGAGTCAAAGATCATCTGGAAGGCTGCAATGTTTAAAAGGCATATGGATATACAACCACTTTTCTTGAAAATGACAGTTTCCTGGTTAATTTCAATGGAAGAACCTGATCCAAGTACCATATTTTTCGCTCTATAAGAGGCGCCTGACCATAAGATGCATCTAATTTTTAGAGGAAGAAAACAAGAAAAAAAATATTCTGAATCAAATGGGCACATAATCACAGGCACATTTCCCATCACTTCCCCATGGGCTGCACATCTGACGGACTTACTGCACACACATATTCACGCTATAAGACGCACAGACATTTCCCCTTACTTTTGAGGGGGGGAAAGAGCGTCTTATAGAGCAAAAAATATGGTAGGTAAAGGACATGTTGCTGCAAAAAGGACAAATGCTATTTTAGGCTGAATGATTTAGAGATCTCACTTCTAAATCACTTGATGTACTAGTTCCCCTTTACTCAGCACTGGTTAGGCTTCATCTGGAGTGTTGTGTCCAGTTCTGGGAACCTAAGTATTAAAAAGATGCAGAAATGCTGGATTGGGTTCAGAGAAGGGCAATGAGGGTGATTCAGGGACTGAAAGCAAAGCCCTGTGAGAAGAGAAGACTAAGGAGTGATATGATAGCACCCTACAAGTATTTGAAAGGCTGTCACAAAGAGGAAGGACAAAAGCTCTTCTCACTCATCCCCAATTGCAAGACATGGAATAATGGAAACCAGATTCTGATTAGACATCAGGAAAAATTTCCTGACTGTTGAAGCAGTACGACAATGGAAGCAATTACCCAGGGAGGTTGTGGGTTCTCCCACACTAGAGGCATTCAAGATGCAACTGGACAGACATCTGAGAGGGATGGTTTAACTTGGAGTCCTGCACTGAACAGGGGGTTGGACCCAATGGTCCTTTTGTCTCTTCCAACTCTACTATTCTATGATTCTATGTATGCATTTTCTACAGAATGTAGTCTAAATTCAAATTTACAAATGTTCATTGTTCTGACCATGAGGGCTTGATCTAGCCAATACACCCTGCTTTAGGTTTGAGTATACTTAAGATGATACAAAGATGAGGTGAAGAGTGTGATTCTCTAAGCAAAAGCACTTTCTTATATACAGAATTATTTGGGAAGACAGCTTCCATGCCATTACCTCTGGTGCCCTTCTTAACAAGCTGAAGGTCATGAGGCCTTGGCAGCCTTTCAAGAACCTATTTTGCCTGGGAAAGTTCACTACATTAACTGACAAACCTTGATAACCTCCTCACCCCCTGTTCTGGCCCAAACAATTCATGCACTCCTGGGTTTGGAAGTCTGCTGGATCAGACTGCTCTGTACCATATTCAGATTGTCTGTGTTTAATTAAGTAATGCTTTAATCACAGGTTTTAAAACTGTATCTGTTAATTGAAGAAATAATTAACCATATACTGAAGAGTTCCCTGTGCTAAAAATTATGTTCAATCTGAGTAGAAGGGGAAAAAAAGACAGGAATATTGAATTTTTCAGATCTCAGCCATGCTAACTGCAGGCATCTGTTTATTTAGCAGATGTCTATCCTGTCTTACAATAAGCTTTCTGGTTAACAAGAAAAATCTTTAGAATATAACAATTAAACTATATTAGAATAAAAAGTGTGTCAGCAATATGAGACAAAGCTGAAATGAGTTGTTGAGTAAAGGTGTGGAACTACCACCAAAATGGCCCTGGTACTTGATTGACCTTCATGGCAGGCCAGAGGGCAGGTCCTTTGAAGTCCATCTTCGGGTCTAGGTGGGCTTTTATGACCATAAACAGTCATACACATCAGCACATCATAGACTATTCAAAGTTTTGAACAGATACTGTAAATATACTAGATGCACTATTTAATCCTGCTAATGCTAATTCTAAAGTGTTTAAAATCATGGCTGGATAATACTGACAGGATGGTAGAATCCATCGATGTTTTGGTAGCACTATCCACTTCACCCTTCTCAGAAATCATGCTGACCAAGCCTGAATGGGAGAGGTCATCCCCTATTTCACTTTGAGACCTGCTTTCAACACGGGTGGAGCTTATGATCAGGGCTATGTATTCTTGTGTAGAGAATGAGCCAAGATACATTGGATCCTCCTCCTAAGAGGCCTTGTAAGATGCAAGTCCCTTCTCCATCCTTTCACGGTAGGTGCTTTGGTAGTGCATGCGCTAATTCATCTTTAAATCTTCTTTAAATAATTACAGAGTATATTACCCAAGCTGTGACTCTGACATACCTGATAGATCTCTTTCTTGCGGTCTGCTGTCAATGAGGCTCCTGTAGGATTCCCACCATTAGGAATGGTATAAAGAAATTTGGGGACATGACTGTTGAGGTTTTTTGCAGCTTCCGGAGTCCACCTGGAGAGAATGTCCTTCAGGGCTTTTGGAATAATTCCATGTTGGTCACTAGGGACATTAATGATGTTACAGCCCAATGGTCTCAGCTGTTTCAATAAAAATAATAACACAAGGCAACAAGAGAGAACATTTGGTTAAAACAAATAGTTATGCATGTTGTAAATTGCCATATTCCTGTGGTGTCAGTAGCCCCCTAAATGGTGAGGAGCCATCTCTCCAGCCCTCCTGTAGACATCCTTGTATGTATCAAGACTGCTGTGGGAGAGAGTGCAAAGACCCCCTTAGCTCACTTCCTCATAGACCCTCATACAGAGCACAATTTTGCTGCTGCTGCTGCTGCTGCTGCTAGCAGCAAAGACAGCACAATCTGTGGAGAAGGGTGGAGAGGAGGGTAGCATTTGTGGACCTGTGTGTGCATGTGTATGTGCGTGCAGCCCCTCAACTACCAAACCAGAAACTCATGTGGGCGTCAGGGTAGAGACAGTAGTGTGCCCCTGCCCCTGCTGTAAATTAACCAACCATGTTTAATTTCACTCATGTACCCATCTTCACTGTCCATCATGCAAATAAAATTTGTCCTTATTTTTATCTTTGCTTATGTGTTAATTCTGTAAACCTCGCAGAGAGCCTTTCTGCCTAGGGGGCAGTATAGAAATGTAATGTAAGACAGTCTGTGCGATGGCTGTTGTCAAGTCATGAATTGCACATGCTGCAAACGTCATCACATATCATTGTCTTTATTGTTTAGCTCTTTGCAGCCACTACACCTGCACAACTCAACCCAAAACAACAGCCACCACATAGTAAGAGCAGGTAACTGCTCTGAGAGCAAGGCATGGAGCAACAGAACTAAAATTTCTGTGGGCACAAAAAATAGGAAGGTGTGGGCAATTAAAGAAGAGTGCGCACAAAATAAAGAGTGTGCAATTCCTCTCTCTGCACTAAGCAGCTCTTCATTTATTAGGCTTTAAATGAAATGTGGCTGCATTCAGGTTTTATATTGCCCCCCTGGAATGGACGATGAAAAAACTCTGCCAATAATACGCTAAGTCAAGTAATAAATCACCAAGACACCCGCCATGATTTGTAGAAGCAGGAAATGCTGAACTATTATATGTAATATTGACAGGTCTAAGATTTATTCCAGCATTTATTCCAGCATATCCGTGAATTTATGCATTAGTGTATTTCATCTGAATGCATGAGGTGCATGTGAAACACCGCAGGGACACAAAGCTGGCTTTTGCATGTGCGGGCTGCCTCTTTAGTGTCTGCACAAGTGTGGAATTCTCAGGCATGGCACTCAGCATGCCTTTGGAAGCCAAGTCAGTGCTTTAAAAAAATAATGAGGGGCATGCTCCCCCTCCAATTTTCAGTGGGGTTCCAGCAAATACGAGGGAAGGATTGCCCCTTTGTTCTCCAACTATGATGCAATGGGAACATCCCTCCCGAAGCTAGTGGGAAGGAGGTGGGGTAGCTATCTGATGGGACCACAGGGTGGAGGAAGAATGCAAGCACTCCTCCCTTTATGTGGTGATCTCAAAGAAAATTACTCCCCCACTTCACGCATTAACAATTTGTTTAAAGACCCGCCAACCATTCCGTCTACTTTGGTCCACAGTGTGAGGAAGGCTGTCCCTGGAGTCAGGCCAGACCCCTCCCTGTGGCCATGGGGTCTGGGCAATAGTGTGGACATGACTGCAGAATTGACTGCAGGCCCTGCTCAAGCACAGTTCAGCTCACCAGGAGCCTAATCAAATATTGTTTATTGGTGAGGAACTATGTGCCTTCCAGATGGTTTGGACTACAGTTCCCAACAGTGCTGAGCATTGCCCATGCTGCCTAGTGCAGATGGGAGTGAAAGTCCGAAACATCTGTAGAGTATCAGGTGGGGGAGGGTGGAAGAAACAGTAAAGGCATGTTTTGGGCATGCAAATCAGGCCACAGTTCCACTTTAAAGATTCCTTCCTGAGTGTTCCCCCTCCTTATGAAACACGGCAGCACAAACATCATTCTGATCACAGGTGTAACCTTTTGGATATTCAGCAATGCAAAAAAGAATACTTGGGGACCCTGAATGGTGAGTCCCATGCATTTCTAAGGAGCAGTCCCTGTGGGAAAGTTTCGTAGAGTTGTAGAACTTATACCGCTCTCACAACTGCGTATCTCAAAGAAAAACTATGCTGATCCTGCCCTTCTAGTCCTTGGCTAAATCGGGGACTATGAAAAATATGCACATTTAGAAGAAAACTTTACGAAGCCTAAATTAGCATTTTGAAGAACATTCTTTAGCTGCCTTGAACTACCCAGAGCTCAAGGAAGGATAAAAAATCCTTCAGCTCACTGCAGCATTCATACTACAACACAGGAGTTTAAAAGTGCAGAAAAGATCCCCACCAGCATCCTTCAAGGTCACAGTCTTCCTTCTATTGCCGCAGAATACTCACAGCTGCTAATGTCCCAGGATAGGAGGGTGCATCCAAAAGAATATTGTCTCCAGGATTAATAAGCATTTCAAACACCTGCAAATAAAACAAATATTTTAAAAGATTGGCTGCAAGACACTAGTCCCTGAAGACCCGGTTCACACAAATAAACAGATTTGTCTTAGAGAGCATTTCTTTTCATCTTCAGCATGAGTGTTACCAAAGCCTGGATAGAGGCAGCTTGAACTAGAGAGAATGAAGCTATTCTAACTAACTGGCTAGAAAGGGTTGGGGCCACACAGCTCATGGACTGCCTATGCCCTCTCCCTCCATGACAGCCAGTGCAGTTTGCAATGGTGGCAAAAGGACTGTCCATTTGCTCCTGAAAAAGAGTGGCAAACCACTACAGAATGCTACAGTGGCCAAGTTCATTTACTTTTGTCTTGTCGACATGGCTTCATTTTGATGGGGTAGGCAGAATGTGTCCAACTGACAAGTGTGAACATATGCTCAAAGACTTGTAAGGACTATTCAGTCCATGCCAAGCCAAGTCAGTTCATGGGTTTTTATATATAAAAGTGAACAGTTTGCCTTCGGCATGGGAGAAGTGTCACAATAGACAATTCTATTAGTAATGGAATTCAGGTTTGGGCTTATGCAACTGGGCTGACAGGAACAGGTTTTCCTGTCCCCTCCACCTAAAGGCAGCTCCCCAAGCTCTGCACCCAATGCTACACAGAGGTCTGGGGCCCCTGATGACTGAGGGATCCCCCAAGTGAGTCTATGTATGATATTAGGGGTGGGACTTGAAGAGCTGCTGTGAAGAAGATGTCTGCTTCCATCAGCCCAGTTGCATATGCCTAAATCTGGATCCAGCCCAACATCTCAGAGGCAACATGGAACTGAAGGGAGACTGAGTTTATCCTGCAGAAGAAAACAAATGATCAATACTGCTTTTAAAGATATGTTTATTGGGATTGTAAGACATACTTTCTACTAGTATTACTAGTAGATTATTATCTACCATACCTCTGCAATGACTTTATCTTTGCAAAAGAAGTTAATAAAGCACCAGAATGAGGAAAAGAATCATTTATTGATACAACAGGCAAGAATTACTATATTCAGTACAGTCTTCACTATGTTAGTTTTGCCTTACTTTACACAACCCTTCTTGACTGCCAGTGGTGACACACAATTCCATTTGTCCGTCATCAGGTGCATAGTCAGCTGTTGGAGGGTTATGGAGACTCTTCTGTAAATCCTTTAACCAGGACAGCAGCTCTGGAATACTAAATGTGAATTCATCTTTTAACTGATTACATCAACAGGCTCATCAGAAATATGCATTCTCCATTATCTTTCAAGGTTCTCATCCATTAGCTTTTCCTGGATAAAACATATATACATATACATTTTGACCTCAAGGAATGGGGAAGGGGGCAAGAAGAGAAATAAATTTGCACTCAGACTGAGTGCTGCATTATTTCATATCAAAGCTCCACAGTGTATTCTGTTCTGCATAAAAGAGAGATGCCTCAAGACCAATGTATTTTCCAACCTAGATTTATTCTAGAGGGTTTTTGCTCCCTCTGACACTTAACTCAGGTGGGATATGCCAATGGTTTTGAAATCCAAATGCCAACAAGAGGAAAATACTGAGAATTATAGAAGTATATAAAAGGCACGTGTCTTTGTGTGACTAACACCTACAGGAAGAAAAGGGATGCACACATGTACTGATGTAGAGAAGAAGGTTGGCGAAGAGCTCAAAAGGAATGCAAGAGCATGAAAGTCAATTAGCCAAGCTGCCTACTCAGAGTATTTCAAAATGGTTCAAGAAAAAACCATTGTGAAGGGTATGTGAAGAGGAGGAGGAAGAAGAGAAGGAAGTAAAGGGAGAACACTGTGGAGAAGTGTAAGAAGTACATGGAAAGCATGAATGCAGAGTAGACAGTTCCCACTAAGCTGCAAGCCCCATTTGTTTAAGCTCTTTAAATCAGCCCATGGAATAGGCTATTGGCCACTTCTCATTTGCAGGAATTAGAGGTTTTAGGATTAGGACATGGTCTGGTACACCCAGTTAAATGTTTGAAGCTGTGATTTGATCTTTACAGGCCACCCTAGGGCCACCAACGGAGCAAAAGCTGGGGTGGGGGTGGGCAGGAGGGCTGCTACCTTTCCAGCTGTGGCTGTTCCATCAGACCAGGAAGGCTCCCACCTGTCTTCTTCCAGCAAGCAAACAATTGTGTATGCTGCAGTCAGCCACACTCTCATCACACTCAACCATTCTGGCCCTTGTCTGTGTCCATGCACACACAGTGAATGCTAAAAATGCTCTGGGCCTCCAACCAGAAAGGTCGCAGTATGACCAGAGGGGGTGCTGCCAGTGTGAGCGGGTGAGGCATGTGTGGAAATTCACACAATTCATCTGGTACAGGGAGAGGTAAGGAGGCAGTTTGAGGGGCAGGTATAAAGCACGTGCAGGACAGACATCAATCACCTAGTGTGCAGTTCCTCCTACAGATTAAGCATCTCCAGCAATTGCTCCAACAGCATCGTTATAATCCAGCCTTGGAGCAGCTTAGAAATGCATGTTTTCCTTTGGTGATTCTTATGGAAGTTCTGCAATCCTTCCCACATTCTCTGGGGGTCTTATGCATCCTAAGTATCCTTAGGCATGATAATAAATCTAGCTACTGTACGTGCAAATTCCGCGTTCAGCCTGATCCTCATGAGGCACTGATTCACCTGCTGGTGTGTAGTGGCATCATATGCCAGGTCCATGCCTGTAGCCACTTCTCTTTGCCATCCCCAAGGCCAAATAGCCACGGCTTCCCTTAGCACTAATATAAATGATGGGCACATTTTTTTCACCAGCAATGGAAAATCATATTGTTGGCACTGTGTACACTGCACAAATGGATACAAGAGATCCTGCCTCCCTTCCCCACCTTCCTTTGCCATGCTCTTTTTAATAAGTTTGCTACTTCAAAAACAGATATCAGGTGCCTGGAAAGTACCCTGCGGAAGCAGAATACTGGAGAGCTCGCTTCATCAAGTCTTCCCCAATTTCAACTGTGGTTCCATCTCCAATGGTAATGCTGGCAGTTTTGAAAGGAAAGGTATTGGGATTGGGTGCTCCTCCCGCCAGAGAGATTAATGATGGTGGAGACCTCTGCATCAATTCAGCTGAAGTAGAAAAAAACGAACAAACAAATAGAAAGAAAAATAGGAACTAAGATCACATAATCAGAAGATTTAAGGCATAATGCTTTCTTTTAATGAGCCTCTTTATTCACTTGTTTATGTACTTACTCCCCTCTGGGCTGTCAAAGCAGGCAGCAACATGAAAACAAAATGCAATATAACATAGGTCCACCCCATGTATAACAGTAACAACCAACATCTAAATTGCAATCTAAAATACTATAAGCTCTAGCAGGCGGCTAGACACAGAATGTAGGACCACTTATATACAGACTGTGCATGAGCCATGGTTCCTCCCTTGAAAAAATAAAACATTTTGGGGAAAAAGCAATTTCTCACACTTTTACTGGAGTTGTGGGCTGAGAACCTGGTGCTTGATATTGTATGTCTGCAGAGCAGCCCAACTCAGCCTTGCTGGGTTACACCCATTGCTCCTATGCTATGGGGAGCCTCAGAAGATGGACAATGAATGTTTGCGAGGAGCTGCTACGTAGCTGAAGGGAAGAACTTCTGGCCTCTGCCACTTGCCAAGAAACTGTAATGTTGCCTCTCCTGTCTCCCAGGAACAACTTGGTAGCATGGGGGAGACCAGTAGAGCCCTTTCCATTGCCCAGAGATGGAGTGGTGGCTCCAGTGTTTGCTTTCTCTTCCTTCCACATTCCTTTTGTATCACATTTACTGAATCGTGAGTTTCTAGGCAGCGGCTGTCTATCTTTCAATATCTGTAAAGCACTTAGAAAATAAGTGTGCATTAATACTTACCACTGCTATTTAATTACTATTTTTATGCTGACTTATCTTGATAGCTCAAGGAGTTATTTAAGGCAGACAGACCCACATTTTGGCCCTTTTGTTATCATTCTTCGCATGTGGTATCAAATGACACATGGCCAAATGGTAACAGAGACTGATTTTGCATAGATAGTGGGGTCCTTTTCTCAACTAGGACAGCCTCTCTTTCTGTGTCTGTGTGCTCCCTCATAAAAGCCCTCTCTACCACAAATCAGTACTAACCTTGAGGAAAATACGTGGTTTGAGTAATGAAGTACACACTTACTGAGGACTCTTATTGGAGAAGCTTTTCTTGCCGCACTTACTGCAGTAATAAACCGTGAATAATTCATGCCTAATGGGCCAAGTACCAACGCAGCCTCTATATAAAGTGGACACGGGCTTAAATAAAAAGAAATAAACATGAAACATAATTTTTCAATATGATCTAACATATCATTATAAATGCCCCCCCAAAAGCACTTCCAAAACCATAACTTCTCCATAGAGAATGCCCCATTCCTGTTCATTTATTCATTTTTCAGTTATTCAAAATTCCTAGATATTCCATGTGACTGTGCATCCCGTATTGGCCAGAGAAAAGATAACATTTAGAAAATAAGATCCAAAACCAAACATTTCTTGGATGATACAGTTTGAAAGCTGGTAGATACATTTATTACCATTATTGTTTAAGATGGAATCACAGGGTTACTGATACTTCTAGACAGATCACTCTAAGTCAGGGGTCCTCAAACTTTTCCATCAGGGGGCCAGTTGAAAGCTTCTGGTGCTGGGCGCGGGCTGGAAAGGTGGCGCCGATGGTGCGGGGACGGGCACGTGTCGCGAGGCAGGCACGTGAGGCAGCGGCTTGCTCGCTTGGAGATGGTTTTCTCCGAGTGAGCAAACTGCTGCCTCCCCGCGTGCGGGGTGAGGTGGGCGGCAGCGGGTGCACGCACGTGGCGGGTCCAAATGGGCATGGCGGGTCCAGATGGACATGGCAGGCCGGCCCCAGCCCCCAGGCCGTAGTTTGAGGACCCATGCTCTAAAAGATAAAAAAGGCACCTCCTATGAATAGATTTGTTGTAAAAGTGCTTAGCTTGGAGAGGTAATTGTCCTTAATAGCAATAGCAGCATCTGAAACTGACAAAAGCACACTTGGAAAAATGAATAATTATGAAGGGAAAGGAAACGGGTGGTTTCTACAGGCGCTCTAGAGGATATTTGAAAAAAGCATGAATTCTGCCTCCCATCCCCTCTTGCCAATTTGTGTTTCTAAACCTCAAACTTGCTCGAGAAATTGGAACACGTCTACGTTGCTTCCACGAGGGCTGCTGCTCCGTGCGCCGGCAGTGTCCCTGGCTGCATGCAGTGTGCAACACACCCAGGGAAGCAAAGGCTAGGCTGGCACTGGGCAGATCAGTCAGTCATCCCAGTGCTAGCCAAGCTCCTGCTGCCCATTTCGTTGCTATGACCTCCAACCCGAATTGAGAGATAACACTGGAGGATTCTCCCCTGTCCAGTTCCCCTCCCAGCTGAAAGGGCAAGTAGCTTACTGGGGGACTCTCCACTGCTATCTCAGAATAGGGTTGCAAGTTGGAGGGTCGGGGATCTAAATGGATCAACCGAAGTGAACCTAATAATGCACTCATAATACATTCTTGGTCACCCATGTATAAATCTGGCTTAGAAATGATTATGCTGGGTTACAGTCTTAGTACTCAGCTGCCTTAAAAACCTATTAGATGAAAGCACTGTTAGATCAAATGGGCAAACGTGAATAACTTTGTAGGCAAGGAAAAGGTTGATTTCGCTAATCTCAGGCACTCTAAAGAACCATGTGCTGTTTCTTCTTCTCTCATGCTTCTTTAGATAAGGCAGCCCTGCACAGCTCTGGTGCATGCAAACCTCTGTCTTCACTCCTCTTTCAAACCGCTCTAAAATGGTAGACCTTCATCTGCTCCACTGCTGGAGAATAAACAGGTTTATAAAATACAGGGAACATGGATTCAGATGTAACCTAAACCCACTGAAACAAATGGCAATTCAATTAGCCTTGACTAACTTGCTTGAAGGGGTCTATTCTAATTTAATATTAAGTCTGAATCTAACCTAAGGTTCCCCTCAGATTGTGGGATGAATAAGACCATCACCTCATTCATCACTTTATAACAGGTGCACAAACTTTCTGGCTCTGAGAGTCACACTCAGTGTCCGCAGGGTGTGTGGGCAGCCACGCTGACTGATGGGTGGGAGGGATTCAGATGTGTGAATGCAGCACTTTCTTGCGGTTTGCATCTGGCCTGTAGGCCACAGGTTGTGTTCTCTCTATTACACTGAATAGTACTACAGTTACGTTCTTTTTCCCTGATGTGCTCCCTATGAGCCTGATAGGGTCTGCAAACAGTACCACTAGTCAGCCTGTCTAAAGCTGATGCACAGAACCTCAGATCTCAGTGCACAGAAAACTGGCGTTTTCTTTCAACTGGCTCTGCAATACAGTGGTTGTCTGATGGCTTTTGTCTTGTGGCCAAATCAGTTTGCAGCCTGTGACTGATGCTTTGTGCCCATTCACTTCATCCCACACTGAAAATGGACCCAGCTATAATAAAATGAAAGTTTTGCCACACAGTCAAGTCGGAATCTGTTGCGCATCCAGAGTTGTTTTGAGGCCACATGATTCAGTCCTTAATTAAGCCGTATTCAGCACCCTCCAGTATTTAAGAAAATCAAACTTGGGGGTGGGGGGATATAATCAATGTATTTAGAAGTTAGTGAGATATTGATAACACTGAAATGTTTTCCATTTTTTTGTTCCATGTTTTTGGAAGCAATTGTGGTATTATAACCTTGCCTCTGAACTAACTGAGAGGTGTAACAAATCTGTAATACTTTTCAGTACTTTTAAGTGGAACCCACCTGTGGCTTTTTTTAGCTGTATTATAATATTCCACCTAATGCAAGCACCCATAAGGTGTCACAATATGTCAAACTCCATAATAATGTAATTCTTGCCACTAGAAAGAACAATTGAAAATTGTCTTTCAAAAGGTTTCAAACTGATTTTTCCATTTCCTGGTTTCTTTTGCCTTCAAAAAAACCACTTCAGTTTGTGAAAACATTTTACCTAATATTTGCAGTCTGCATTTGGAAAATAAACTATAGTCCATTTATTTAATATGTAAAGGTAACGCTGTATGCATATGTTGTATGAAAAGAATAACAAGGTGGAAAAGGAATTGGACAATGTGTGGAATACTTCTATATAATAAGATGAAAAAGCTCAGTGACATTATAGCACAGATTGACAAATTATGGAACTAAATCTTTACTGTCTCTCCCTCTCCTATCTCCTTGCAGGATATCTTTCTTTATATGTAAAATTATTCCATGTGTTTATGTGAAAAAATGACAATCTTCTTTTTATTATTCAACACAGGATTTTAGTGTTATTTTTTATTAAGAGTCTCTGAATAGCAAATATTCCTTTGCCACAATTTCGGCAATTACCACTGCAAAAATAACCTGAGTCCAAATACATCTGCCAAGTATGGACTTCTAAATTCTCTCTCAGGAAAGGGAAATAGGGCAGTAGCTTACTGTCACCATATAGAAAGATCATATAAGCTATAATTACAGGGCTTCTGTTCTATTCCAGTTGGCGTGTGAGGTGCATGCATGTGTGCTTTTCTACATGTGTGTTTCCTACATGTGTGAGGCTGCTGATTGCTGTTACCAACTTTTGGTATGATTTGCCATACTGAGATATGAGCTCTAGCACAAACAGTTCTTCCTTTCCTGCTGTAAAACCTCTGGGTGGAGCTGGCCTTGCATTACAAAATAGTTTCATGAAGAAGTCCCTAAAAGCAGAAATTATCTGGTACAATTGTGACATAGAAATATCTTCATGGCCACCTTACGGCACTTGCTTAGCTCCTGTTCCCTTCTGTACCTTAAATTCATGGATGACATCTTTTTTATTTGAATTACTTTTAAAAATGGATTCATGGACAGGATGCCCTGAAAAAGTTCCAAAAGGATTTCAGTAACTTTCACCCCAAGATTAGCTTGTGCCTTGACCAGTCCCTGCAACAAGTTTGCCTTCTCAAAACAACTGTATCCCATCTTATCCTGGAAATCTACTGCTTGCAACACATAGTTAAATGTTTTCATTTTCTGCTTAAAGCACACCACAAAGTCCATTGTAAATGAACAAGCTCTATATTACAGCCAGTTCTATTCAGATTCATTGGACAACTTAATGATCCAAATCAGGCATTCCTCAAGACTACCCACCCTATGAACTGAGAGAACCAATTTACCAGGCCACATTTTTCCTGGGTATCAATCTATGACAGACAGATGCATACAGGAAAACAACAGAATGCCACCTGTTGTCACCTACAGCTCCCAAATGAATTCACTCAAATGTATCATCAGTGATCTATAGTCTATCCTGGACGAGGACACTTCTCTCCCACAGGCAATGGGTGAAAGGCCTTTACTGGAATATTGACAGTCCTTCAACCTAAAACAGTTACTTGCCCGCAACAAAAAGGATACAAACACAGGCATAAGATCTGATGCCAAACTCAGATTCCAGTTCTGTTCCTATTTCTTACCCTGGAAACCCTATCACAGGCCTAATCATTTTACCCATAATGTTAAGCATTCATTAATTTCCTCATCTTTGAGCACAATACATGCCATCTTCTACCAGCTAAAGTCTTCGTTCTGCATAGGATAATAGGTCAGTTGCTCCAGAAAATAATAAATGGACCTAAATTTGACACTTCAAACAATAATATTAAAAAACCATTGGCAGAAGCACCCCAACTGCCAGTGGCTCTCCTGGCTTTCTAGGTAAGGCCCTTTCATGCCAGTTGCTATCTGACCCTTCCAAGCTGGAGGTGCTATGGATTAAACAGGAGACCTATTGTATGTAAGGGATATGCTCTACCAGTAAGCTTCACACTCCACCCCTCCCCCCATATGGGCAGAGACCCCTAAAACAGCCCTCTTTAACCTGTTCTCCAAGATGTTTGTGCACTCAGAATTGGCTATGGTTGCTGGGGTTGATGGAAGCTGAAGTCCAAAATATCTGGAGGTCATTGGGTTGCACTAAAAAGTGAAAGAAGGCTGCTGAGCCAGGTCTGCTCCATATGCATCCCAGTTCTAGTTATCACAATTAATTAGTTCTAGTGGGCAAATCTCTCATCAGATTTCCAGCTATTACTTTCCTATTCTTTTATTAATTCCTTCTTTCAGTAATACCTTTGATAGCAACAAAGCAACTCAGATTGTGAACAGTTTGAGATAGAATCAGGGTTCCAGGGGAAAATTTCCTTATAAATAGCATCCTAAATTCACTGGGTTGGGCTGCAATCCGATACACACTTACCTGGGAGTAAATCTCCTTGAAACCAATGGGTATATGCTGAGCAGCTTGACCAACTTTGGGGCTCAGGCACACCCAAGGAAAAAAGGGCACAAATGTGCATCTCTTAATTTAGTTCTAAAGCTTGTGTACATGTTTATAAAAGAGGCTGTCATCCAAGGGCACCCTTTTAAGAAAAGGGATGCTTGGGGAGGGTGCACAATTTCAGACCATCCTCAGGCAGAAAGATTCAAAAGGGGAGGGCAGCAAGCTGTCCATGCTGGCTGATCCAGGATGATCAGATACAACACGTTATCAGGGCTGCTGGGCCTTATTTCAAGATAAGGTGCAGCCCTTGGACAATAGGGTGGCAGATAGCTTCCCAGACATATGGGGCTGCAGCCCTAAGGGTCTGTCTCCCAACACTGTCTTTGCTGCATAGACAGATATAGGGTTACACTGTTCATTTATGATCTTTTAAGAAAGCTTTTGTGGAACTAGACTTCTCTCCAAAGCAGATCTCCATAACTTTTTCACTTTTTTGGTGCCCATTCGTGTATTCTTCCAATGCTTCCATTTCCCCGCTCCCCGACCAACCCAGAAGTAGAGATTCACTCCAGAAACTGCCAGGAAGTATTGTTATTCATTTTTAATGCGGAAACACAGAAACAGCGCGAGACAGAAGAGGCCTTTCGGGCCATCTAGTCTGATCGCGGCTCCAGCCGGCTCCGCTCACGACATGCCTACCATGTGCATGTGCAGTCCTGCGCACAGCAGTCTTCCCCCGAGGGGCAAAGAGCAGCTTGGGAGGCGAGAGATTTGCGCTGGAAAGAGCCGTGGACCGACAACGGCGCCCCCACTCGCTGGCGAGCGAGGCTCTTGATCGCCTGCTCGCCGGAGCTGCAGAAGCCTGGTCCGAGAAGCGCGGCCGAGCGCGACAGCAGCGCACGCCTCTCGGCGCGGGAGAAGCGGGAGCCCGCAAAGCGCAGCGGCCGAGCCTGGCCGATCTCCTTCGCTCGGGCAGCAAGAGCGCCCGCCCCACTTCCGCCGGAGCTGCACTAACCTTCCGAGTCAGCCGCGGCCGCCGCCAGCCGAGCTTGCACCGCGTCAGGCGGGCGAAGTGGCTGCCGCTGCGCCGTCGCGGTTGCCCCGCTTACCAAGATCCTCCCCTCCGCCGAGGCCTGCCCGGCCAGAACCGCTGTGGACGGGCAGAGACCTTTGCCTGCCTGCCCGCCGCCCGCCTGCCCGCCCCCCCTTGGCGCGGGTGCGCTGCGGTCTCAGATCCTTGGCTGGCACGATAACGGGGCTTCCGCGGAAGCGAGTCCCTGTTGCGTACCTAGGCAGGAAGGCCCGGCTTCTTGGTTTCTTTTCTTCATTGAAAAGAGTGCCCCCTTTCAGTTAGAAGGGCGCTTCAGTGTTACAACTACCCCAGTTAAACGCAAACACGTACAGTGCTCTGTTATTAACGATGGGTTGTGGGGCCAGGTTTTTATTTGAGATAGGATTCCTCAGGGCTGGATCGTGTGACGTTACAAATAAAGGTTCACTGGCCATGTGCAAAGTGCCGCTGTTCTGTCAATGGTCTCACATTCCGTTAAACATTAAGCCTGTAAGAACAGATGTGACTTCTCCCAGTAAACACACTATCAAATGCCTTCTCTAGTTGGATTCTGTCTCAGTTGCTGGACAGTGCAATCCAGGCTAGGTCTATTCAGAAACAAGTCTAGTGGGACTTAATTTTTGGTAAAGGGAAACATAGGATTGCAGCCTTAGGATGCTTCCAGAGCGGCCCCTAGTGCTACCTATCAAAAGGTACTGTGCAGTTGTTGCTGGCAGGAAAAGGGAAAAAGTAGTGGGAAAACAGGACTACAGAAAACAAAATGAGGATGTCTGTACTGCTCCGGTTCCATCAGTGAGGCAGGGTAATTGCATCATCATGGCCTTGTCTAGAAGCAGATTGAATGGGTGTTTACTTAGGACCAAAGCCACACTGAATTCAAATACTCTTAATTAAGACTAAATCTGGATCCAACCTGTTAAATACATTTGGCCATGCATACTTTTACAATAAATACCTGGATCCTTTCAAATTCTTATTCTGTTCATCTACAAGCCTGAAACTTACATTAAGAATAATATACATTTAGACTCATTTTTTAAAACCACTGCTTGTGTGAATGAATGGAGCATTAATACTAAAAACATGTATATTTACTGATCACTGTTCACCTGAATTAGGAATTGTCACTTCTGTTTTTGTTCTGAAGTGATGTTGCAAAGAAAAAAAATGCATTTTTAAAGATATTGTGTGCCAAGATTTTTCCTGAGGCAATTCTTTTAGGATTTAATTTCAGTAGTGAGCCAGCTCTCAAATCCTCGATATGAACAGGTTTCATTTCTGTTCATTTGAAGGCATATAGTGTATGACCTAGTGGAACTGGTTGGTTGAGGTTAGTGGTTTAAGGTGCTAAACTGTTGCAATTCTAGGGAAAACGTACGCTGTATTTCTGCAGCCTTTTGCCTAAAAGGATGTTAAATTATCTTACTTCTGAATAGGGCATGTGTGGGCTATAATTAGTCCTGTATGGCCACTAGATGTCGCCTATACACTTTATTTTGGAACGGTGAACAATAAATAAATAAATAAAAATGGCAATTCCAAGCAGAATTCTGTCAGCTTATTCCATTTGATAGTAATTGCTTCACTGCAGGCAGTTTGTGAAACTGGAAGAAATGAGTCCCGCCTGAGCTATTACCAACCCGAATTTCATTGGAAGGGTTAAATCCAGTCAGAAGCCATTAGTGGTTAGTGAAATAACTAGATAAGAGGGTGTAGAAAGTGATATTGCTAGATTGGCATTACAAATGTGCACATATGTAAGGCTTGCTTTGACATCAGTAAGGAAATGATAAATGGTATGCTAAAACAAAGAATCTTCATATTATAAAGTAAAGTGCATTCTAGAATCACATGGTAGAGGCTGCAGCTAAGCACTTACTCCACATCCACAATGTGTGAAGCACCCTTCAGACCCTGGGTGGTGTTTTCCTTTAGTAGGACACCACCTGTTTGGTCAGCCACCTTTTGATATTCATTGTATTCTTTTTAGCAGTTCAGCTGTGCTGCATAGCACAAAAAAGCTACCTGTGAAAAGCTATTTTCACCTTTAGAGATGGGTACCAAGAGGAATAGACAGTCTACAGCTTGAAGATTTAATTGTTTTAGAGCTTTAAAAATTATGTGCACCTCAAATGTCCACAGATCCATCAATCATAATCAAATTGCAATATTCAAATTATTTTTCTGCATTCCTAAAGGAGTAATCTGTATTCGGTATGCCTAAAACAATAATCTATTTTGTGCTTCTTCCTGAAAGTTATAACAAATTGGTATTTTATCTTTAAAGTAATAATTTTGAATTTGTTATTTATGGTGAGCATATTTATTTTTCTATGAAAAGCCAAAATACCAGTACATTTGAATATTTTCATATACCTGAAATGCAGTATTTTTGAAGCACCCCGAAGGCAGTGACTAAACTAAGAAGCCCATTTTCTTGCTCTTTCCCAGAAACATTATTCTGGCATCTGCAATGACTAACATTTATGAATTTTCTTGATGATATCTATTGCATGTTTCCAAAAGGTATACATATTTGGAGATTTCCACCATGTATGTATAGAAGCTCTCTTTATTTCATATGCTTTACAGGATTGATGCATTTTTAAAAAAAAATCTCTAGGAGGCAAGATGCTATCGACTTCTATCATAGCAATGTGCTTAATTTAGTTTTAAAGTTTGTCTGTTTAGAAGTATATATCAACACTGAATCAGAACGAAGTCACTAAAGTATAACTCTGACTATTATTAAATCTACTGCAGCTTAATACTGTCTCCAGACCTAAATACCAGACTAAGTGGGACTAGATTGGCATTACAGCTAAGTGTGCATAGAATCACTTTGCAACCATGGAAACTGAAGTAGCACAAGTAGGAAGGAATTTTAGTTATTTTGGAATATCAAACTTTTTGAATTTGAAAGGGAAGGAAATTTCATAATTTGGAAGTAATCTGACATAGTTTTTAACATAAACGATCTTTTCCTCTGCAGGTGAATATTCATTTATGCAATATTTCACATGCAGTCAAAGTATTGAAGTCAAGATTTTTTTTTAACATTTGCCATAGAGAAAGTGCTTGTGAACTACATAGTTGGAGTACCATTTGCTGTTATGCATACGAGGACAGGTGAAGGCACTTCCAAAATCTAGCATCTGGCAGTCATCCTGAAAAGAGGAATGCAAATGTATGAGAATGATAGCCACCATATTATATAGTCTTTGATGTGTATGGAAACCTCTTTGGAATGCAACATTAATTAGGCATGTTAATAGTATAAATCACAGGATTTGCCAGATCTCCTTTCCCTAATGACTAAAGAAAGAAACAACAATACGGGAAGATGATCTGAACATTTTAAAAAAATGCCATACACAGTGTTTAGTTAGCATGATCCAATCTTCTTATGAAATCCAATGAGTTTATTCTGAGGAGGATAGCAAGCATGTTAATGGAAACTATACTTCATAACTGCATGGATGATGAGTTGTACTGCTCGCGAATAAAGGCTTTCCCTTTGACGTTTACTAAACTACTTTTAAAAACAAAAAACACAACTTTAATACATTGTATGCCTACTTTTTGTTCAGACATATGACATAAATGAACAGCAATAGCATTGCTTCTTGAATTTTTACAGTGTTACAGAATTTTAGGCCTGGGAGTATCTTTCCAGGTTGCATTTGTTTAAACCCTGCCAGTTAGGTTCAATTCACTGATCTCCCAGCAGCACCAACATATCAACAGTGTGATCCTATCCTTGATTTGCATCCATTGCACAGGAGGAGATAAACCCGCTCAGCTTGGCTGAACACAAAGCTATCTCAGCAGAAAATAATATGCCTGCATAGTGATGCTCTTGTGCTGAATGGAAGTTGCTGAGATTCAGTCAGTACAAGGAAAGGAACTGGTGGAGCTGGAGGCCTAGCACTGTAGGAGCATGGCTTGCATCAAAAAGATACGCTTGCTTGGCAGTGGGTTCAACCCCCATGGCAAAATAATGTTGGGTCTTCAGAGAAGGAGGTGTTAAGCTGACATACTCCAATTGGGGTCGATGGAGGACACTTTATTAATTTATTATTTAATTGATTTTTATACTGCCGAATACCTGAGTCCCTCTGACCGGTTAACACAATTTGACATTAAACGAAAGTTAAGAAGGACACACATGCACACACAATTAATTGGAAAACAAAATCATAATTGCTATTATTCAGTACAGAAGCATAGTAGTGAAGAATAAAATGGGATATAGAAAAACAAAGTTTAAAGTTTTGATTGCTAAATTCCTGGGAGAATAAAAAGGTCATCACCTGGCACCAAAGCTATTCAAAGTAGTCACCAGGCACACCTGTTTGGAGAGCTTTTTCAAAAGCCAGGGTGCCACAACCAGAAAGGCCCTCCTCCTGGTAGCCACCTACTTTACTCTTTAGAAAGGATTCCTAGAGAAGGATCCCCAAAGATGACCTTGGGTTCTAAGTAGAAACATATTGAACGAGGCAATCCTTCAGATATCCTGGCCCCAAGCAGTTTGGAGCTTTGAATGTTAGCACTAGCACCTTGAATCAGGCCTGGATTTTACCTGGCAGTCATTGTAGCTGGAAGAGGACTGGTGCAATGTGTTCTTATGAATCAGTCCCCATTAACAGTCTTTCAGATGAAGTTTCAGTTGAAGTTTCTGGACCATTTTCAGTGGCAGCCCCATGTACAGTGCATTGCAGTAATCCAAACGAGGAGTTACCAGAGCATGGATAAGTGTAGCTCTGTGCCACAGAATTCACTGGTGCCTTGAGTGATAA